CCCTGTGCATCCAGATCCACTCCGCACGTGGATCCCCCACTGAGCCTCCCGCACCCAGATTGCCCCACACAGAACCCTTTCAACCCATACCTGGATTCCCCCCTCCCCCCCATTAAGCCCTTCCACGCCTGGATCCTGCCTTGCTGAGCCTGCCTGCCCACACCTGGGACAGAAGGGCAGGGCTCTGGGGTGTTTCTGGGGCAGGCTGGGTCCTTGCACTGTGTCAGGGTTGGGTGCAGCCTCACCGCTGAGTCCATGTCCCGGGGGAAGCTACACAGTGATCTCCCACCTCTGTGCAGCCAGTAGCCTGTGCTCCCCAATGCCATGCTTGAGCTTCCACATTTATTTGACAAATAAAATGTGCAGAATTTTAAAATACTGTGCGCAGAATTTTTAATTTTTTGGTGCAGAATGCCCTCAGGAATAAGGTGGAGGAAGTGACAGCACAGTACATGTGGTCACATACTCATAAATTAGACTATAATGGGTTAACTAACCCTGCAATTTTTTACCTCATGGTTAACATGCAGTGAAAACATATGCATAGAATAATTTCAGATGTTTTAGAGGTTACAGCCAACACACTCAATTGCACTTTTAATCTCCTGAAAATCTTACAAGATGTTTTCTGTAGAAATTATGTCAGTTATAAATAGAGTGAACACTTAAAATTAAGTAGAATAAATAAAGGCATCCCAAACAAAAACATTACTGTTTCATTTTATTGAAGAGGTTTATCTTTCTTTAATTGCCTCCGGATTTAAATGTACTCTGTTCAAAGGAAAGTAAACCTCAAACTTCTAACAGGTTATATTTATGGTAGTTTTAATGATGTAACTTCACAATAACTAGAAACTGACAGATTGTAAATATCATTTGCCACTCTGTGGGTTTACATGGACGAAGACTAAATGACCTTTCCAGTGACCTACTGTTCTAATGTGTTTTGTAGCTGCAATTAACGCTACTCTTCAGGTCATCCTAACCCTTTCTCTGTGTTACACAATTAAGCAAACATGATGGAAGATATGATTTATATTGTTTCTGCAAATTTAAAATCTTAAGTTTAAATTGTTTAAATAAACAATTACTGTATTTTGTAGACAATAATATGCAGTCCTCCACTGGCTTGATCCCCAAAGGGAGGTTGGGGAGGGCAGGCTGTTTCCATCACAAGGGTGAATTCCCTCCCTCCCCACCAGCCTGCAAGAGATCTTGATGGCACAGAAAAGGCATTGTGCACTAGCCAGGAAGACTCTGAACTTCTGTGGCCTCTCACCTTGCTGACGACTACTTTATTTGATCCTCATTCTCTTCCCTGTTTGTCTTTTTGGACACTGCTATTACTGTTCATATTATGGTCATGCCTACTGACCCCAACTGAAATCAAGGCCACATCGTGGTGGCCACTATACAAACAATACTGTATAAAGAAACAAACAAACAATCTCTAAATTTAATATTTAAATAGATAAGGCAGAATTATCCACTGGATCACATTGCCTTTGTTTTCTTGTGTTCCCTCTACACCCACTCTTGATCAGCACATACACTCCCATTGATTCAGATACAAACTACAGTGAATCCTGTGCAAGAAATTATATTAGGCAACCTCCTGTTCTAATAGACTATTCAGTACTGTTAGGGACACTGGAGCACAGTTCTGCTTCATCTCAATTTGATGTCCACTCCCAGCAAATCACCAGTTTTTGTCAGTCCTAAGTAGTTGCGTAAGAGATATCACTGCAGTTGAGTCCCAAACCAAATCTATTTCTTTCCCCCGTCTAGTCCACCATCTCCAAATGTTTCTCAGACATTTTTTTTGGATCCCAGTACTATGTCAAATTCACTCTCCCTGAAACTGCATACTCCTTTTCTCCTTATCACTCTTTTCTACCTCCCTTCTCTACCACTCTAGATAGCTTTGCTATCCCTCCTGCCTCTCATGCTTGGAACCTCTATGTAATAGCCTTTGATTTCTCCATTTATCTTCCGCTAAGTCTTTTTACTTAAGCATACCAAGTTCACCCTTCCCCTTCACTGTTCCCACTGCTAAAACCCTCGTCCACAACTTGGTACTCTCTCACCTTGCCAATACAGCATTCTTCCTGACCTGCTCTTTTACATCTCTCCCTTCTCCAGTCTATTCACAATGGCATCTTCTGCTCCTGTCACCTGACACTCCTTATTGTTTACTCTCTCTACTTTATGCCTTCTATCAAGCTGCCCCCTAGAACAGTCTCCCATTCCCTGGGGGCCTATCACCTCTCCTCTCCTTCCAAATATTTCCCCCCCAATAATCCTCCTTTTCTTTTCTTTTCCTAATATCTCCTTGTTGTCCATGACCTGACATTCTTGGTCTCATCCACCTCAAACTGTAATCACTTTGAGCTAGCTAAGAGGAAGGTTTTATATTGCTTCTGCAGACCCATACTGTAGAATATCGTGTATCTTATGAGCCATGGAACTGTTTAAAGCCATGAACAGGTAGGTGGCATGCACAAACTGACCACTGGTCTAACCACTTCAAATCACAGTTAAGAAAAGCCTGTCCTTCCACTACCTGTCTTCAGTTCCTCTCTACCTCAGCAAAGTACATAAATTCTCCAAATAAGAGAAGGGAGGGTCTGTTTGAATCGGAGAGGCAATATAATCAGAGAATACCAGTCGCTTTTAAGTTTGCCTCCTTTGTTCCTTCATAAAACTAGCTTCAGATTCCACTGTAAATTTAGCAAACAACTGAAATCTTCGGTTAGCGGTTTGGTAATAGTAAACTGGTAAAAAATTGAAAGACTAGCCCTCTTGAAATCATTGCCTTCACCTCAGGTGTCTAACATGTCTAGTCAAAGATAACCCTGCAACTATTACAAAAAAGCATTTTTTTTTTAAAGCCCAAGCACTTTGAGATGCACCATTTTGATAGTTTGAATAGAATTGAAACCTTAGATGAACTAAAAACATTGAAAATTACTACAAAACTATTAATAGCCATTATATACCCTACTATTTATTTTATTTTTTAAAAAGGCACCAATCAAAACAAGAGATGAAAATCAATATTTTGTGACTGCTTTTGCTTAGCAGATGGAGAAAGACCATTAATGGGGAAAAGAATTCTTTAACCCATGGTCCATACACATATCTCCTAAGAGTTTGCTGCTTTAAATAATTCCATTGATTGTGAGGCATAGCATACAAACTCCTACAAGAGGGATCTGCAGAGAATATTTCATGAAGGAAAATGCACCTCAAAGCTATAGAGTACCAGACTACCCATAAATGCTGCTTCTTCACACATTTATTAATGGTTACTCAAAGTGATATCATTTACACGTCAAATTATACTTCAGTGATTTAAACTGGTTATAAGATTATTGTTACTTTAGGATTGTGTAAGTACTGATTATATTCAAACAAAACTACATTTTTAAACAGAGTAAAACAATAGAAGTTTTATATACATGAACTAAACGCCACATACTTCCATATGAAAACCTCTTCCACGGATTTCCTGTGCAACTGTGGGTAAGATATCACTTAACCCCTATGTTTCAGTTTACCCATCTGTAAAATGGTTGTAATTATAAAACATGTCCCTAGCTCACCGGGATATTGCAGGATTTAACAAACTGTAAAGCACTTTGAGACCCTTGAATAAAAACCACTAGGTAAGTAGCAGTTACAGCTTTCACAAAAGCTGTAATTAATGTTAATATATTTCTATTATAATCTGTTTTCATGAAAGAGTATTGTTTGGGATAAAGCTTTCCAAAATATTTTCCTTTGAGCTGACGCTAAGAATAGAAAGTTTGAGGAAACTCCATTTAGTGGTTTCTGAATTATGGGAAGATAAGAGGAGGGGAAGACAGACATTTTCAAATAAAAAGAAATGAAACTAATCAAACTCCAGACTTTTCTTAAATTCATTAGACAACCTCCAAAACTAGTTTGTCTCTAGTAATCCATGCTACAACTGGGGACAGGAGGAAGAAAGAATTTAAAAGCTAGTCTTTATTTATAATGAGCATAGTCAATGGGCATTTGCTAAGTCCGTTAGCAAGGTCAGAATAGCATCTCACCCTGTGTGCCCTCATTAAGGGATGGAAGAACTGCACCTTCCCCCTACAGAGATTGTCAGGCACAGAACCTGTTACTATGACAGTTTGCTTACAGAAAACTAAAAGCCTCTTACTGAAATATATCCAACAGGATTCTTCAAGTGACTGTCCCAATACCAGGGACGGGGGGGAAATCATTGGGGAGGGAGAGGCGCAGATCAAGTTTCTATAGGTTTTTGCCATATTTTTGCTGTACTCTGCAATATTTTTGTTTAAAACTGAAAGCGTGTGTCTTTTTCTCTTGCAAAGAGAAACCAGCTCAATTTAAGCCATTGTAATACCATTCTGGCAACACAACCTTAGATAAAAAGAACAGGAGTACTTGTGGCACCTTGTCTAGTGTCAAAACACAAAACAGCAGAATTGTGAAGTTAACTTCCCCCATACTAATTCACTTCAATAAAATATCAATTATAGTGCCTCCACTGAACTGTAGAAACATCCATGGGTTTTATCCATTAACACTTCCACACAGACCTTTTATTGATAGTAAACAATGACTGAAGCATACAGTCCCTAGGTGAATTAGAATTATGGAACCAAATCATCCACTGGGGTAAACTGGCACAGAAGTCAATGGAGCTGTACACGTTTACACTAACAAATCTGGCCCATAATTACCAATTTGGTTTTTTGTTCTCTCAAGCTATCTGATATTCCAGTTTGCTTCAAATGTAGTCAAACCTTTTTCTTTTTTTTACAATATGAAATAATAAAACCTTTCAACATTTAATAACGTACATGACACTTGTGACAATAGGACACATGCTAAACATTTTAAAACCTTCATTTGTGTAAGCTTTTGACTGATTTTTTAATGTTTTAGACACTGTATGGATAATTTATGTCTTTGGAAAGACAAATGCAATTAATTTGTTTTACCTTGTTACTTTACAGCTTGATTCAATCAACTCATTTTCAATGTCAAGGAGGCTAGAAGGCAGATTGAATTCCAGTGGAGAGGTCAGTCTTTTCAAACGCAGTAAGGCAACACAGAATTTGGCTCCCATCTCTTCCAGTTCTCGTGTCCCTATCTGTAACCCCTATGCATGAAGTAAAATACAGACACACTCTATTAGCTTATAACCACATTCCAGTATTTTGTTATATTTTACAATAGTTTGCTCCAAATTAGCTGTGAAATGCAGACAAGAATTTTTACATAAATGCTTAGAAAGCAGGAATTTACAAAACTCAAAGGTTAATTTTCATCTTGGATAGAATGGCCATTTCTAGAAGACTTCAGTATCTCAGAGGTATATTCTGCTCTCTGTGCCGGAGCTTAATTCCCATCGATGCAAATGGGGGTTACACACGTAGCACTGAAGAGAGATCATAGATTCTTAAATCACAGTTTATCCGTCTTCTGTAATTCATTAATGGAAAGGAAGAACAGTTGAATATTAAGTCATTTTTCACAGAAACTGAATTTACAGTATTTAAATTTTAATCTAAAAGAATTTTCTTCAGGAAGTTCTGTCAGAATGAAAAAAAAAATGAGTATATTCCGGGTGGATAAAATTCAGTAAAATACACCAATTTGTTTAAAAAACTAATTTGCAAAATTATTTCTTACCAAGAATGAATGAATAAATAATTCATTTTAATAATTCATGAATAAGAATGAATAGAAACTATCATACTTAACTCTTTCATAGAGCAGTATTGCACAGTTGCCAAACTGAAATTTTTCAGTCCAAAGTTATTGCTACAGTGAATACTCTCTTGATTTCTAGGAAGTGATGGGCTCAAAAGTCCGCTTCAGTCAGCAAAGATTGTTTCACATGGATGTTGATGGAGCAAGGTACGGTTTAGTTTAATTAAGGATGCAGGGAAAATAAATGTCTGTTCTGCAATCTGATCCTTTGAATTTTTGCAATTGCTATTACATATAATTCTTATAATCATTATCGAGTTTCTTTTCAAACCCAGGCTCAGCTGTCTGGAGGTAATTTTGGATGTGTAGAATTTGGGCTAGATGAAGTCTCATACTATATTCCGTTCTTTACAAATGTATATTATTTTTTCTTTCAGATGTGGCATTTAACGTGCTGCATGAATTTTTCTTTGCTATAACTAAGGTGGAGACTGCTTTGGATGAATAACCCTTTTTACTTCGTTGTTGGCACTCAGATTTCAGGCAACTGGTTTCAAGATACCAGGGGCCAGGAAAATGATTGCCTTTGGCAGAGAAGAGTCTTCCTATAATGGTTCGTTCACCAGGGGTTCCATTGCCATGTCAAATACCGGAAAACAAGGGGCTCCTGGACCAGTGAGGTAGTATTTCTAGTCATGTGCTCTCCCTCCCACCCCCACTGTTCTCAGAACCTTAGTCAGAATAGGCTGTAAGATATGAGCATCTTCAAGAGCTTAACTTGGGTGCCATTCATATAGAAGTACTTCTATTGTTCAAAGAATCTTTGCTTCTTCTTTAAAAGCCTTCCCTTTTCTGAGTCGGTATCATGACTCCCAGACCTTAAGAATTTTCTACCAATAATAGTGAAGCCATATTCCTGAGAAAGTGTTTATGATCTGTCAATTGTATTTGCCAGTATGAAAAGGAGCAGTGTCTGTAGTTCAGATTACATTACCTTTTTAGAATGTCTTGAAGTTACTGACGGTAGGTAGTTTTCCCTCTTGCTATTGCTTAAATAACCATCTTATACAGTGGCTCTTTGAATAGCTTTCATCCAGAGCATTCAGACATGGTCATTAGTTGTTTTGTCTGGGTATTCATTTTCCATGCCCAGATAACTCTAGCAATAGCTGTGACCAAGGATCTAGCTACACACTGTAGAGAATTCACTGAATCCGCTAAAACAAGGTTGTGTCCAGACACACTTCTCTCATGCATTATTTCAACTTCAGATAAGAAAGCTTCAAATAAAATGGACTTGACTTCCTTCCTGACTGAGGATTCCACCTTCCTATCAGTGGGGTTTCAGAGTAAAAATTCATATTTTGATGGGATACCCATCTTCTTTAGAAGGGAGGCTACTTCTGCATCATCTCTGGCAAGGATACTCCATCTTTTCCCTCAACACAGGATAGAATTTTTGAATGCGTCTCTTTAAGCTTTGATAGATACTCACATTTGAATTTGGTGATGCTTCTAAAGTTATGAGAGGGGGAAGATCATACTGTTCAGATATTTGAGGGAATGTGTCTGCCTTTTGGTCTGAGCTGTCAAGATCTTTCCTCTTTTTAGGAAGATAATTTCCTTTTTCAGCACTGAATGGGATACATTTGGAGATTTTTTTATGTTTCTACCATTACTTCATTCATCTGAAATCCTGACATCACTCATTTCTCAGTAGAAGACAAGTTAGATGAGGAACACACTCTTTCTGTACTTTTTCTTGGAAGACTTTTGCCTCTTTCTTGTTCTATCAATTGATCTTAAGCTGCCAGATGAATCTCATTATTTCCTTCTCATAACAAGTGTGTCGGCATTTCTAGAGGCCAGGCATCCCAGATGTCCTCTTTGCCTTCATAGGAAGATGGAAATCTCGCTCATTGCACTGACTCCAAAGAAAAGATTATTGTGCAGGGATTTGATTTTCTTGGTTGGTTTGTAATAAGCATGAAGGGGTTTTCCTTTCTGGATAACTGATTTCTCAGTATGACTCAACTGGATAGATTTTCCATTTGATTTCTACTCTTTTTTTACCTGAGGACTGATCTGAGGCCTTTGGAAGTTAATTTACTTAAATTTCAGTTTGGCATCCCATACTTTACCTTATTTATCTAAAAAGTATTCTGAAGATTTTTGGTTTGTGGGACTCCTGGATGCACTATTATCGATAGGAACCCTAAAAGCATCCCCATCTCATGACCACAGAAGGTGGTCAGGAAATATTTTGGAACCAACCTATCATAGGGACACTTGTGTACCTAGTACGAAGTAGGAATTAATGTACTCTACATGGGCCTACTGAGAAGCCTGCTGAGGTGTGTGCTTTGTCAATAGGCCAAGAGAGCCTGGTTTGGCGTGCTGGAATAGGATAATTATACCTCACTGTCTACTGTCTTCCTGGTTTGCAGCCTTCTGGTCCACCTGTTCAACATGGCTGAGGTCTGCTTGCAAAAAGGAGAAGCTACTGTGTGGGATGTTTTGGCATTCAGGGGTCATTTACTTTCTAAGCCTGCTTCAGCTTGCCTCTCTGCTTCAGCCTGAAGCAATGTTTGAGGCACTGTGGGAACGGAAAGAAGATGAAGGAGGCTTCAGGTCATCCACTCTTTTCAACTGGTTGTACTTTTTAGCAATATTTAAACTGTTGGTTGTTGGGTAACTGCTGCGCAAAAAAAAAAAAGGCATAGGGCAATAGGCTTGCGCTGCACTGGAAACACAGTGCTGGGGGAGGGAGGCAGGAAAGGAGGCGAATTTTATTCACTGCTGAACAGCAAGCTGCTAAAATAGCATGAAAATATTTGGCTTTATCTGCCTCCTTCTGCTGCCATGGGGGAGAGTTCTGGAGGCAACATTACCTAATGTCTGGTGGATAAGTCCAGATTGTACCAAGAGGAGAGCTCCCCCCATTGCAAAAGCTGGCTAATGGTCATGTATCCAAGAAGTCTCTATTAAAATAGTTCAATGTACTGGTAATTGATTATTAATAGTCTTGTTAATATGGACAATCAACAGAACATGCACATTACATTTTTAGAATGACAGATCCAAACGAATAATGAAGGAATCTACATTATATTGAAATAGACTGTTTTGCACAATATAATGTAAAAAGCCCTATAACAGGATGTTCACGCACCTTTTTTAAAAACAGACAAGCTGGGTTTTGGAAAGTGATATCAATGTAAATGGTAAACTCAATCCACACATAGGCTTTCACTTCATCTAGTTTCTTTACCTTATATTTGCCCTGATCACAGCCGCATAACGTGCTCTCCATTGTGTAACTCCTTTGTACTCCTATCTCTCTCCAGACAACTACACGTGCTGTCGATTCCTTGGACTTTTCCACTACAAAACTGCAGCTGCTCATGCTGAATGTTGGGGCAATGTGACTGAGAATCTTAGGAAGAGTCTATAGGATAGTAATTTGAAAAAGATTCAATTTATTTTTACGAAAATGTGAAACCACAGTATATTAATCAGACAGTTCAGATCTCAAATTTCAGTTTAAAAAAAAAAAAAAAAAGTAAGATTTTAAAAATCCATCCAAAGTAATGTTTTCATTATTTAAAAAAAGCCAAGAACCCAACCGATTCATTCTTCCCCCATCTTCAAAAATTCCCTGGTAGCGTTTGCAACCCAGTTATTAAAATAGTGTGAGAGTCAAGTGCATAAAAAAATAGAACATGAAGTGTCTAGTAGAAAAGATTTGACTATATGCATGACTAATTTGTTTTTATTGTTGCAGCTGAGTGAAGTGCAAAAGGGAAATGTAATTTAGATTAATATTCAGTTTCAATAGTCTAATGTATAGGAAGTTCTGTATTTTAAAATACTATATAGTATTTCTGACATTGATTCAGCAAAGCTCTTACGTGTATGAGTCTATAACAATACTTACATTGTTACTAAAACTGGTGCAAGTATCTGAAATTTCATAGTGATTCACAAGATTTAAGTGACTGAGGCGGATAATGAAATTGTAAATAATCAGACAGCTAAGAAATTGTAAGGGAAACAATCCAGTAGCATTTGGATTTTTTTTTTTTTTAAACGTCTGAGCACCAAAAAGCATGCATAACTGTTTGTACATGTAAATGGCTAGTTATGAATCTAACAAGTGCAATCACCTGATCGGTGAGCACAACTGTGAAGAAAACAGTAGGTATGCAAACAGGTGCAGATATTGGGCCTCCTTTAAAAAAAAAAAAAAAAAAATCATCCTCAAAGTAAAAAAGAAAAAAGCCTGTATATATTTGTGATTGCCACAAGGTGGCAGTAAAACTACACAATAAGAAGCTTATTTTCAGGAAAGATTATTTTATAGTCATTGTGACCATGCAAAAAAAGTTATTTTGAACTCTTAATTTAAAAATCCTTATCAAATAGATTTATACACCAAATTCACTGGGAAATATTACACAGCAAAAATTACATTAAAAGAACATTATGGCTGCAAATTCAACACTCAAAAGTTAGGAATTTCCAGAATTAAGGCTACCCATGCAACCTTAATACAGCCCCCTCGTGAGCATGCAGTATGAAACAGTCTAATTACATGATCATATACTACTTTTTCCACAGGACCTCTGCCTCTTTCAGTGCACAAGATGAATGGTGCTCATGTAATGAACAACTATTCAGTGTTCCCAGTCTCCTTGCCCAGACAGTGCCAGTATTCCCCCTGGCTCCTAGTTTGGTCTCAGTCTCCTCCAATCCACTGGCTCCTAGTTCCAGTCTCTCTCACCCAGCTCCCAGTCAGATTCTTGTTACCCAGCCAACTGTAGACTCCCTCCACCCCAACTCCTAGTTTTCCCCTCATATCCTAACCCTGCCAGCCTCCAGTCCCAACCCCCACCCTTCCCCAGACTCCTTATTCGAATCTATTCCCTCCCCTTTCCAATCTCCCACCAGGTCTAGCTCTTGCTCCCTCTGCATTCAGATCAGGTGCCTCTTCCACGCTACCTAGGTGTCAGCAGGAGGGGCACAGAGCCAGAGAGTTTCCCTGCTTTCTGTTCCAGGGTCTGGACCTGGCACAGGCTGCAGCAACCCAGAGTCACAATTACAGAGACAGTTCTGCTAATCTCCTCACAGCCCCAGACTGGAACATGCTTAGTGCTCATGGAATCTTCTGGGAATTTAGTTGTGAAGCTCTAGCAAATCTTTGTTAAGCATGTGCAAATTGCACTCTTTCAGAGGTTTATAACTTGGGCAGATTTTCAGGGGGATCAGAAAAAGTCACATCCTTGACACAAAGGCCATCCCCTGACTAATTTCACGACTCTGCTCCTGCATGGGAGTTTCTAAGAAAAAAGAAAAAAAAAAGTTCGCAAATTTAATATGAGCAGAATGTATTTTCCCTAGCTTCATTATCAAAAATAGCTCAACTCTTTAGTTTGAAATTTTCCAAAATAATTAAGATGAGGCAGGAGATCCTCATGGAAAATTTCAGATGGAATGGGTAAAGTTTTGTAAGCAAGTGAAAACAGGATCTAACAATGGGAAGTGTTCAGCAGCCTTAATAATAGGCAATGCTACTAGCCTTGCCTGTAATAACTGATCTAAATCCATCAATGAAGTGAATAAATAAAGAGTATGACAAAAGTGTTTGCTATACTAAAATATGGAAGTGTTCATAATTCTGTTCATAGTTTAACATTTTTCAAAAAAATCTACTAAAATATTGCTTAGTTTGTTAGCCCAGTTAATAATAATGTTGTTTTGAAAAGCTGAATTACTTCTACTTTTCATTTTTGTTTAATGAAATATAGACAAATATTTTGTCTTGTTTAATTAGAAGAATAAAGATAAAACAAACAATCAGCTGTGTCAAATGAATGATTTGTTATTTTATGACCACTGACTCTCTTGTCTACATCCCTCCTTCTCAGAGGGAACAGGGTGTTTTTCTTTGTTTCCCCTTCCTGGCTACATGACAGTGATCTAATCCAACTGTTTGGCAATGTCTGACATATAAAGAGTATTCCTCTGACTGGCACTCTATTAACTTTGCATGAAGCTAGGCAGAGAAAGAAGAGCTATAATTAGACTCCTGGACTCTGTTAGAACCATACACAGCTCTACTTTACAGGTTAAGTATCACAACATTACTGATTACTTTGTTGAAATACCTTCCTAGATTCCAGAATGCTTTTCTGTTTTCAGAAGTTTACTTCCCCTCCCCCCACTACAGCAGTCACCCTTACACTTCCAAATTGTCTTAGATAATGAAACCAATTAAATAATGTTTCTTAGTATGTGTAGTATTTCTGAGGTATTCTGTGTATATGAGAAAGTAGGGAAGCATATGCAATGCTACGAATACTGAGGTAATTATATCTATACTATAACTGACTTTTTTAAAAAGGTAAACAAATGATATACCTGTTCTTTGATATTTGAGTACTATTATTCTATTAAATGTTCAAGAACATTCACAAACATAAAAATAGTGATAGTTTTAAGTGGGCATAGATGTTGTAAAGCAGCATGGTGTGTACACAAAGTTGTGGAAGTTATTTGAAAAATGTCTGAAAAAATAGTCTGTTACATATTATGGAAGTCAGGGAATTGTTTTTATACTCTGCATGCAAATTGCACAGGGAGACTGTAATCATACTCTATACAATGACACCGTCGCTCAGGTTTGAAAACAGCATAAACAAGGAAACAAAGTTGCCCATGGCGCTTTTCAGAGAGAGAAAAGTTAAAGCAATCAAACGTTACTTTCCAGTTTAGAGCCAGCATTATGAGTAAATTATATTACTCAGTAACACTTATCTGTGCACCTGTAGGTGTCTTACTGCACAAATCCCAAAGCATAAATTGTCGTATGTTGCAGATGCCCCACACCATCTCCTGTACCTAGAGAATGACATAGCCTAGGGACAAGCAAACACCACTTATTATTGCGAATGAATACTTTGACAAAGCATAAGTACATAGGCACCTTTTCATTTTACACCAGATTAACATTGTTCTTACTTGGGGGGTGGGAAGTAACAACATGAGGAAATCAAGATATAATTACACTTTGACAACTTACTTGAAGATTTAACTTTTACTCACCCTATAACCAAGGTCCTCAATCAGGTCACAAGAGGCAGCGCTAACATTAGTGTGCCACACTGTCTCTTTGATGCTGCAGCCATACATGAATACATTCTTTTTACGAGAATGACCATGATAATCACAGTAAACCTACAAAAATTGGAGAAATAAAAGCAATGTTTTAAAACAGGCTACAGCATCAAATAATTTAAAGTTTTATATATTTCCTCATCTCTCATCCTAATTGCATTCATTTACACATACTAAAACACCAGCATTAGCAAATGAAAGGCACATTATACAATCAACCTGTTTATTAAGAAGAAAGCATAGTTTGTTTGTTTTTTCAGCAAATTCAGAATAAACTGAAACTGGCCATCAGGAAGTTTAGACTTGAAATTAGATGAAGGTTTCTAACCATCAGAGGAGTGAAGTTCTGGAATATCATTCCAAGGGGAGCAGTGGAGGCAAAAGTCATATCTGGCTTCAAGGACTAAGCTTGATAAGTGTATGGAAGGGATGGTATGATGGTATAGCCTAATTTTGGCAATTAATTGATCTTTGACTATTAGCGGTAAATATGCCCAATGGCCTGTGATGGGACACTAGATAGGGTGGGATCTGAGTTACTACAGAGAATTCTTTCCTGGGTGTCTGGCTGGTGAGTCTTGCCCACATGCTCAGGGTTTAGCTGATCGCCATATCTGGGGTCAGGAAGGAATTTTCCTCCAGTGCAGATTGGCAGAGGCCCGGGGGGGGGGGTTTCACTTTCCTATGCAGCATGGGGCATGGGTCACTTGCTGAAAGATTCTCTGCGTCTTGAAGTCTTTAAACCACAAGTTGAGGACTTCAATAGCTCAGACATAGGTCAGAGGTTTGTTACAGGAGTGGGTGAGTGAGATTCTGTGGCCCGCAGGAGGTCAGACTAGAAGATCATTATGGTTCCTTCTGAGCTTAAAGTCTATGAGAGTGCATGACTAACATTTTTATCACAGCAGAAGCAATAGCAACAACCAGTAACTAGAGTTAAGCTTTCAGAGTGGTATCCTGTTCAAACTCCTGTTCTCATTCACTCAATTTCCTGAAACTCATCAGTCAGACAGAAACTGGTCTTTGCCAAAGGTTTTCTTATGTTTTTATGTTTTACTCAATCTGTGCAGTCATTTTTTACTAGGAGGAGAGTGAAACAAACTACTCTTCAACCCTATTTAACATTTTTTTTAAACTTTGTCTACAGCTGTAATGGCTGGGGTTAAAAAAAATTGACATAAAAAGAATCCTGCTATAGAACCTTTGAGTGTTCTACTAAAAATAAGATGGTTAAATGGAGTTATGAGCCTTTCAAAGCTGCATGCACACTAGATTTTTGATGGACTGAAACCACACAACTAAGGAAGACTTTGCTACACATACACCTCTACCTCAATCTCATTGGTTTCAAAGTGATGACTCAAGTGCAATATTAAGAATATACATACATTTTGGCAGGATTGGGGGCTTATGTAGTTATGCACATATACCGTACAACATAAGTACCAACGTGAAGTTTAGGCATATTGCATATGTTCCAAATTGCTGTTTGAGTTCATAAAACTAAGCCATTTCCAAAGAAAATTTCAAATCTAGCAACGCAGCATATCTAAAACTTTCTGAATTCAACTGTTTTTGTTACTACAACTGTCTTAACGGGGGGGGGGGGAGCAGGGGGGGACACTCTGATGTTCAGAACATGAGGCTTTTTTCCATCCTCTAACTCAACAACACCTGCAAACAAATGCTAGATATGCAGTACTGAAAGGCTCAAGAATCAAAACTGGGGTGTTATAACTAAATATTTTTGCAGCATTAACCAAAGTGATTGCTCTCGTTCAATACAACTAGAAATAGTTCCAGAAATTTCTGATGAACCCTCCCAGTCACATTTGTAAGCATGTGAAGCAGTTGCAAGGACCTATAAATGTGTTTTCTTTTACAGAGAGCGAGACAGTATCTATACAAAAAGCTAAAATGATTTTGAAATGCCTATTTTGGGCAAACACACATACTCACCAGAGGCAAACGTTTTATAACAGCCAAATATTGTAGTAAGCCCTTGGCATGGTAAATTGTGGGATGAAGGTCTGGGTTTGGGTTTTGCCACTGTCTGTTCAAGTCCTCCCCACTTAAAGAACAGCGATGGCTATGAAAGACAAATTTATAAAGAAATGTATGTCTCACAATATAACCTCACTTTTATTTTAAAAGTTAACCTCACTAATTCAAGTTTTGCCTGTGACACAGCTACTCAATTTGTGTGGTCAAGTGAAATTTAAATTCAAGTTTGTATTAAGAACATTTTTTATTCTTGCAGAAGAGTTAATTTAATGGTTACTAATATATTTTACTTGGATCAGATAAAATTAAAGGGAAGTAAATTTTTATTTAAAGATATTTGCATACTTACTTGCTCTGAGATTAGAGGAAGTAAAATTATCTCTTGTGAAAACTGGATGTTTGAATGTGTGTGATAAGTCAACAGATTCAGTTCCAAATTTATAAGTTCTAATTTAAAAAAAATCAATAGCCTTTTAAATTTAAATTTTTGTAAGATGGTCAATGATTTTATTGTTCAATATTTTTGTCTAGTTCATGATCTTGTGACCATAATTTGTCTGCTCAATTTGACATTTTGGAACTGCTAAATAGACAGACAGTCAACTGTCAGCGATGTTCAGTGATAGATTTGCTGAATCTGTTGAATTCTTCTAGAATTCTTCATACAATTTGCTAATTTGTGGAAAGATCCCGATCTCCATTAAGATGATCAAATCAAATCTAACTGGATGGGAAGCCTGGTAACTTCAATGGAATCTTATTCAGATCAAGAAAGAAGCATGGCTGTGAACCTTTAAAACAGTGGCTTCAAAGAGAACTCATGTATCCTTTATACACCATCACAACTCCAGAAGCCACATAATTTCAAGCAAGGCTTTTGTCTACATCCCTGCTTTGACTGACAATTGACAGGGATATGGAACCCATCATCAGCCAACATACAAGAGCTGTCACAGGCAAGCCTGGTAGCATTGAGGAGACCAACTAGCTAGTAGAAGACTAACAGAAACCAGGAAGATCAGTGTCTACAGCAAGCAATGTTTCAGAAAGACTTAAGAAGTACTGTAAGTTTAACAAGTTCATACAGACATTTTAAGTATTTTATTTTAGATTTTTGATTTTCAATCTGCAGAGACATATCCTTGGCATTCATGCATTAGCATGAGTTTTTAACCAGTGAGTGATTGCTGGAGTGTCTGTGAGTAAGTATGGCTGGGGGCAGGGGGGACAACTGAGCAGCTCTGAAGCCCAGAGGGGCTATTTATGTGCCACATATCAGCACCTTTAAGAAACTTTCTGAGCAAGTAGTCACACCTGCTGTCATGTTTACTAATTAAAGAGAAGTTATAGATTTAACCTCAGAAAACTATTTCCACCTAAATTCTTGGTAGCCGAATGTAGTAAGTTGAGCTTCTCCTAGAATTCTTTATTAAAAAAAATGATATTGAAACATCTGTGACCATCCCTTTGGGGACTGGGTGGCGATACTAATATTAAAGAATGGCAGTGTGGAACCTTGTGGTTAAGCCTTAGTGAATTAAATTGGGAATTGTTTTTCCCCTGCTTTAGTCCTTTTTTTGACAAAGTGTTTGAATATTGAATTGACTTCAGTAACACCCTTCTATCTGAGAGAGATTATAAACCATCCTCTTTTCTTGCATTAGATGTAAGGATTATTAATTTTGGATGAGAATGTGTAAAATTTGTTGGATTTTGACCTTTATTTTTAATTATTTGAAATATCTTTGTATAAACCTTATTTTAGTTATTAGGCTTAGTTAATAACAAGATATAAAATTGTGTCAATTTGGTGTTCTTTAAACCAGAAATCTGGGGACTTAAAGAAGTTGAGAATTTAGGGCAGACAAACAGCACATCCTATCTATTGCTCTACCAAGAGATATTTGTGAGGGGTACATGTGTATATGTAAAACTATGATAAAATATGTTCTGGAAAACCATATTGCAAAAGCAAGTTCTGTGAAGGTACTTATTTTTATAAATGCAATTTACAAAAACACTATCCTGAGAACATAATATTTTAATAGTAAAATTCAAAGAAATCAACACTGAGAGACAGCATTACCTTCTTGTATAGGAATACATTTACACTACTGATTCTTCACCAACAAAAAAGTACTAGAAGACAGCTTTGTGAGAAATCTGGATTCATTACAGTATATAAACCTTAACCTATGCTACATATTTGGCTCATACTTTAATTACTTCATTGCTAGCCCTCCATTCCAAGAACTGTGCTGCAGTAGTGTTCTAACATTCCAATGAATTTGTCGCATACCTGGTACACATGACATCGATGGATGAATCTATGGCCCCATCACTATGTACGCTGCGCTTCCTCTTCCACTCTCACTGGCATAAGCCTCCCTATTAAATTCCATGTTACTGCTTGTACCCAGGGCTATGACTTAAAGCCACAGTTAATTCTTAGAAAAAAGTGCCATCTCAAAACAGACAGTATATAAAAGGAAGTTTTTCATAGTCTGGATCACAGAGGCTCTTAAAATTACTAGTACATATGTTTGACTAAAGAAAATTGGGAAAATATTTTGTCAGTAAGATTTGTTTATAGTAGTTTTGTTAGCTAGCAAACCACTGGAAAAAGACTAAAAATCCAAATATGAAAAAAATCGAGCCTAAATACTGACTGTGTTAATTCTGGAAAACTACTGCATTTTTATTTTAAGACTTAGACATTGTTTTTATTACAAGATACAGAAAGATCTTTAATTAATTGTACTTTTGTTAGCAGAGTTTAACTTACTTCCCATTGATGACACCATCTGGGTTGAGCATAGGGACAATTTTAAAAATATAGGATTCTCGTAAACTCTGGGCAGTGGGGTTATTACTCATAAGATATTCCAATGTTCCCTTCATAACCCAACTTGCATTAGTCTCTCCAGGATGTACACGAGCAGATAAGAAAATGTAAGGACGATTCCCTAAAAGAAGCATTCACAAAAATTGCAAGATGTAAAACAAGTAAATTAAAACAGTTTGAAAACAATAAATAGCTCGAGTTGGTGGATGGTGATTGAAAAATACTGTACAAGTGCATTTGCATCAATTTGGGATTCTTTATGACAGGATTTTATCATAAATATTGATTGTTACACAAGTGCCTCAATGGATTTTAAGTTTAATGCAACATGAAAAAACAACTACATAAAGACCATCTGTTAAAAGAATTGATAATTGGTAAGTTACATGATACAATTGAAATTCCTCTCTTCATAAGGGAGAGAAATTCAGGAAAAAATGGGATGCTTTGGGGGCCATATGGTGGTACAATCACCAGTCCTTATGTGAGATTTATGAAATGGGCTCCATGGAAAATACATTTTTGCACTAAAAAGAATTGCTATGAGATCATGAAGAACACTAAAGAATGAGGAATTAGGGACTGTCTTGAAATAACATTTAAAAAGTTTAGCATAAGAATAAATCTTGTTTGGCAGTTGACAGTACTTTTTTTTTTAGAAAGAAAAATCATGTTTAGAAAACATGCAGGTCCAAAATTTATCTTTAACAATTCAAGAATCAGGTGGGGTTGTTTTGTTTGTTTAAACACAAAAGCAAATTATAAATGTGAGCAGACCAACCAGTGGTAATCTCATGAATATAAAACTGAGTTTTGCTATTTTTACAGTAAGGACCCCACCAAGAATTGCAGACAAATGAAGCATTAACATTTTTAGAAAGAGGTAACATTACATAATTTTAAGTGGATCAGAGAGAATTTATACTTACTGAACTGACAGATATGTTCATAGTAATTCGACTCCGGCATGGCTGTGATAGTGACTAAAGGGCAGCTGTTCCCAGACAGGGTCTCACACAGAGTATCTTGTCGAAAATAGATCTGCTGAGGGTTGTGCATGGATTCCAATTTCTGAAGATGCATCTTCATCCCCAAAATGATGAAAAGGTACTTAAGTCCTTTGCAATTTTGTATATGATAAATAAAGATTTATTTAAGTATTTAATTTGTATTGTTCCAGGTATAGAAGATAATTCTCCCATCACTACTTTGGCCATGAAATACCTTTTAGGTTTCCACTACATCTATAAGCTGACTAATGTTTTCTTTTGTATAGAGTGTTTTGAGTCTTAATTTTTTTTGGAGCACTTTCTACTTCTATGCACCACCCTTTTATTCTGTTTTTAACCAAATGATACTCCCTCAAGGAGCAGCTACTTGGTTTCTGAATGGTCCCAAATGATCAGCCTCATTCAATATTGATCTATTCTATATGTTGAGTCCCAGATCTGCTTTTGTTAATATAACCAATGCAGCACATTCTAGTTAAGCAGCTCACTTTGCTTTACAAACATCAACAAAACCGCACAACACCCCAATTTTACTCAATTCATTATCCTGAAAACGTCTCCTTTTTAATACTTCGTAATCTTAATCTTAGTAGTTCAGATACATCCATAATGAGCAAGGTATAAGTAGACAGATAAGATCTGATAGAACCTAGACTAAATTTGACACTATCATCTTAGCCATGTATACCTCATCAAATTCCCACTGAAGTCCATGGAAAAACTCTCAATAGACTTCAATGGGAGACAGATCTAGATCATGGTAACAATGTCATTCTAGGCAACTTTACAGGGGAGTTATATCCAGCTGTCAGCTTTTATCCATACTCTCCTGCTGTCAGTGTTTTCAATGCTTTTTGGGGGGAAGGGAGGGGAGAGAAGGGAACATCTAAGTCAATTACTGATATAGCTGTAATTCCTATAATTATCAGACATATTGTATAGGGGAAATGAAGATCATGTCAAATTTCTTGAAGTTTTTTGTTCTAAAGAACAAGCAAACTCATTACATATATTGTAACAGACTGATTCCTTTCTTACTTGAACTTTTGATGAGAGAGTGTTTTATTCTTTTCAACATATATGCTTTCATTTATGTACCCTTTTCGTATCTATGAACTAATATTTGGAAGCAATCAGCATTTTCTCATGGAAAGAGATACAGTAATATAAATGGACATCCAAGTAATCAAGTTCAAAGATTCTCTCACCCTTAAAGTCGAATACGTATATGGATAGTGGTAAGCAAAGTAGCAGACATCATCCTTGTGTGGGAAGTTCACTGTGAATGTAATTGTGTAATAGGATTTTCCTTTCTGACCACCAGCAGCAATTGAACTTCTAGCAAAGTGATTCCTAAAAGTGAAGTGAAACCAACATAAAAGTGTTAGAGATTTGTAGATATTTTTACTACATCAGAGGTTATCATTTCTGAACATAATATGAAAACCCCCTGGCTCTGAGAAGTGAGAGATCATCTGATGGTTACAACATTTGTATGCTGCTGTGTACACTGCTGCTACTACAGGTAGAAACGCACTCGAGTAGAAATGCTGGGAAATTTTAATGGGGTGAGGGTGGGAGGGGGAACCAAAACAGACAGCCATTGAACCGAAGGGATGATAAGTGGGGACCCTACAGCTCCTCCCACGACAGGGCCATTTGTAAAGATAAGCAGTTTTCCTGTTTTACGCTCCAAGATCTCGCCAATAAACAAGGAGTAAATACCTAGAAAGAGGTTCCATCACAGGATCCCAAAAAGAAAGTCAACAATACCACATGTGAGGTATTAAAGGTATTAAGGTTAAATTCTTAATACAAATATGCTTAAATATTTATATACACAAGTTATTCAATTAATACAACATTTTCCCAGAAAATTTTATCAACATAGCATTAACAAAATACTTAATTTATTTTCTAAATTCATTTGTCAACATCTAAGAAAAACTTAAAAAAAAAAAAAAAAAGCCAACCACACAATTGCTTTGCTATAGAAATATTAAAAGTAAATTACCACAATACATTTCATGTTTGTGCTTGTTCTAGTCATGTAAATTAGATTTTGTTCTAATCTTCAACGTAACACAGATTTGCTTACCTCCGTTTTTTGTTGGCATACTTACTTATAGTAACAAATATCTGTCCCAACACGAGTCCACCATGGCCTGGAATGTAATGCCTCCTGAACAGAATACATGAGGGGCTGCATACCTTTAAGAAAAATGCATTAGATTTTTATCTTAAGGTCACTGAATTCTGTTTGTACAGCTAACGAGCAATGGATCGCATCTGAATACAGTCTCATGTAAGCACACTATATTCATTTCACTTTTTATGGAAGTCTAACCTACAGAGTCCATTATAAAGATTGAAAGTCATACCATCTTCTAACTAACAGCGAAGAGACATATAAAATGAAAAATGACTCAAGATGAGCAACGTACAAATGAAACATGGGTCAAAAAGACCAAATGTAATTCAAAAATAATGCAGTGGCTCGAATGGACACTAAAACAGTAAGATCCTGGATTCAATCACATCTAACCAACTGTCACTATAAAATTTCATAGGAAGTCTCAACCTTCTTGTATCTCAATCCACCCACCTGAAAAACCGGATAACCACAATACCAATGAAAAACAAACTGTTTTATGAGCAGAGCTTTTCAGGTAAATTAGAAAAAATGTTTCCTTTGCCAAACAGTACTACATTAAGGCATGTGAGCAAACCTTCAGAGCATAGCAGCAGCGTCTAAACCAGGGGAGGGCAAACTAAGGCCCGCGGGCCGGATCCGGCCCATCAGGGCTTTCAATTTGGCCGGCGGCATTGCCAGCCCTGTGGCGCAGTGGGGCTAAGGCAGGTTCCCTGCCTGCCCTGGCCCTGTGCCGCTCCCAGAAGCATCCGGCACCACGTCCCTGCAGCCCCTGGGGGTGGGGGGCAGAAGGCTTCGTACGCTGCCCTCGCCTGCAGGCACCGCCCCTCGCAGCTCACATTGGCTGGGAACGGGAACCACGGCAAATGGGTGCTTTGGGGGTGGTACCCACAGGCGAGGGCAGCACGCATTGGAGCTGCCTGTCCTGCCACACCCAACCCCCAGGAGCCACTGCCGGACATACTGGTCACTTCCGGGAGCGGCACGAGCCCAGGGCAGGCAGTGAGCCTGCCTTAGCCCCACTGCGTGCCACTGCTAGCCCAGAGCCGCTCGAGGTAAGCGGCGCCAAGCCGGAGCCCGCACCCCAACCCCCTACCCTGAGCCCCCTGCCGTACTCCACACCGCCTCCTTCACCCCAACCCCCTGCCACACCCCACACCCCAACCTCCTGCCCTAAGCCCCCTCCTGCACCCCAACCCCCTGCCCTGAGCCCTCTCCCGCACTCCTCCTGCACCCCAACCCCTTGCCCTGAGCCCCATCCTGCACACTGCACTCCCTCCCACACCCCAACTCTCTACCCTAGCCCTACATTCATGGTCCTGCATACAATTTCCACACCCAGATGTGGCCCTCGGGGCAAAAAGTTTGCCCACCCCTGGTCTAAACAGAGCAATTAATATGCAACATGTTAGTGTGCTTTAGAAATCACAGTCCCATAGTATGCATTACCCCACTGAGCAGACAAGCCTGCAGTCAGTTTTGACTATCCAGCAACTTCATAAAAATCAAAATTTGCTAATGATAATTAGGAAGCAGATAATAGGACTTACTTTGTTTGAGTCCATTATTTGTTAAGAATAGTTCACTTGGCTCTAACAGGAATTTTACATGTTTCATAGCAAGGTTTCAGGGAAAGGATTATGACTTTTGAATTGCTAGAAGTAGTTTAGAAAAAATCTGAGCAAGAAGTTTGTGTGGACAACACATTGCAAAGAACTGTTATAGGTTACATATCTGGTCTTATTTCAAGTGGTTCTCCACACAGATTCCACTCTTGGTGACTACTAATTGCCTAGTTTTTTAAGAAGTGAACTGTGATTGTAGGATAGCCCTACCCAAACTAGCATCTGACCTGGAAGCTCGTACCAAGGAACAGCAAGTGATAAATGTGTGGCTCAAGCTCCATGTTGCTGTTCTACTTATCTCTGATACTGGGAAGTGAACTAAGCCGGCCACCGAGGCCATTTGAGCCCTAAAGTCTAGGGGGATCTTTCATATCCAGATTGTAACAAGTCCTGATATAGACCAAGGCCCACTTAGTCTCAGGGATGATATGGATCTCTTAAAACTTTCAAACACCATAAAGAACCTAAGTGTGTACCTGAATGGCCTGGTTCTATCTAAGGTGAAGTTTCATTTCACCTGGCGTAGAATGCGAGTTAGGAAAGAAAACCAGGAGGTGAATCGACAGATTGACAAGGAAGTCAGAAGCTGCCTTGCATAGAAAACTTAGGGTGAGGCCTGAGGGAGTCCTTGTCCTTGTGAAAGACCATATATGGGGGGCCTGCCTTGAGGGCATGAATCCCTCCTATCTGAAAGGCAAAACACTACCAGAAAGGCAGTTTTCACCGATAAACAGAGCAGGTAGCGGTAGGCTCAGAGGGAGACCCCATCAATATAATCACTAGTGAAGTAGGGTCTCAAGAAGTAGGGGTGTTTCCTGACTGGTGAGTGTAAGACCCCATGAGTCTAGAACCCAGGCCTGCAGAGCTGCCAGGCAGCTGACATCTCCATGCTGCCACAAGCTTGCACTCCACTTGCCCATGACCTGCTGTGGACACAGACCATGGGAAGCCTCCAGCAGTCTGACAGCCTGCAGCCTCATGGCTCCTGATTGGCTCCCTGGCCCATATAAACTCAAGAGGTATTTTAGGAAATGTCCAGGCACCAGCCCAGGTCTCCTGTAACTGACACGACTATTCCTGCTCCTTGCTCCTGAACTCCTGGCTTTGACCACAGCTTGATTTGGACTTCATCTCCTGACCCAGCCCCTGAAACCTGACTCTGAACCTTGGTATTGACCCTGGCCTGGAACCTATGGACTCCTCCGCTACTCCCAGCCTCAGGTTTGACCCAGCTCTGACCCTTGGTCCTGACTGCCCTCACTGTGGGATGTGAAAAGACAATGTGGTCTTGTAAATAGGGAGGATTTGCAGAGATCACTGCCAGCTAAACCCTTATCAGGCTTAGAGACAGACCCAATTATTTCAGGAAAGTAAACTGTCTAGTATCACTGCAATTGGAGCGGCCACTGGAGAAAGGTGTTGTTGAACTGCCTAAATAGAAACATTTCGTTCATTCGGCTTTTTATGTCAGCCTGGTTAAAGGTTTTCCACTGTGGAGCAAGATGTCTTGAACAGCAGCAGATCAGCTTCTCTCTGAAGACATTATCCAGGCAGTATTCAAGCTATGCGGTGCAAGGATGTCTGGTTTGGGTACAGACTCTGGCCTCATTCTGAAAGTCCAGGTTGGACAGAACCAGCAAGGTAAGGAGTTTCTCTAGGTCTGAGTAGCAAAATTGCATAGCCCATGCTATCCTGTCTCCCCACAGTGGACAGTACCAGATGCTTCAGAAAGTGTATCAGAGGTGGGGTGTCCTTCACAGTAGGGGTCATCCTAACCTCCATCAGAGATTGGCTCAAGCCTTCAAGCAGGAGGTTTAATATTCCTTCCAAAAATTTTCATAGGAAAATTCAAGAGGGTTTAAGACATTTCTATGGATAACAAGAATATTGAGCGTTATCACTAAATTCTTGGCCTCAACAAGGTCTTGTGACAATGAGTCCCCCATTTTAATTATGGGCTCTGTGAAAAAGTATTATCCTGCAATGATTATAACTATTGAGTGGGCACCTGAATTTTTCCTAGTGGGTTATAATTCAAAATGGAGCCTTCTCTTTCTGCCCAGCTGCACAGCAGATTCAGAGAAACACTATTTAACTTTCAATTTGACTATCCAGAGAAATGGAGGATAGCTTGACACTTAGTTGGACTCTTGGGCCTAAATGGCAGGGCTTCATGCTCTTCCCACTGACCTTTACATTCTGCTTTGATCCATGTCACAAGCAGGCTCTTTTGGTATTCAGGTCTTTTGAGTAACAGACTATCCTTGACATTCAGTACAAGAGTGCCAACTAAGGCCTGGTCTACACTAGGAGTTTATGTCGAATTTAGCACCGTTACATTAAATTAACTCTGCACCCGTCCACACCACGAAGCTATTTAGTTCGACATAGAGGTCTCTTAAATTCGACTTCTGTACTCCTCCCCAACGAGGGGAGTAGCGCTAAATTCGACATGGCCATGTCGAATTAGGCTAGGTGTGGATGGAAATCGACGGTAATAGCTCCGGGAGCTATCCCACAGTGCACCACTCTGTTGATGCTCTGGACAGCAGTCCGAGCTCAGATGCTCTGACCAGCCACACAGGAAAAGCCCCGGGAAAATTTGAATTCCTTTTCCTGTCTGGGCAGTTTGAATCTCATTTCCTGTTTGGACATCGTGGCGAGCTCAGCAGCACTGGCAACGATGCAGAGCTCTCCAGCAGAGATGGCCATGCAATCTCAGAATAGAAAGAGGGCCCCAGCATGGACTGATCGGGAAGTCTTGGATCTGATCGCTGTGTGGGGCGATGAGTCCGTGCTTTCCGAACTGCGATCGAAAAGACGGAACGCAAAGATCTACGAGAAGATCTCTAAAGCCATGGCAGAGAGAGGATACAGCCGGGATGCAACGCAGTGCCGCGTGAAAATCAAGGAGCTGAGACAAGGCTACCAGAAGACCAAAGAGGCAAACGGACGCTCCGGATCCCAGCCCCAGACATCCCGTTTCTACGAGGCACTGCATTCCATCCTAGGTGCGGCCGCCACCACTACCCCACCACTGACCGTGGACTCTGACGATGGGATATTGTCGACGGCCGCTTCCTCGGACATGTTAGCGGACGGGGAAGATGAGGAAGGAGATGAGGAGGACGAGGCAGTCGACAGCGCTTACAACGCTGATTTCCCCGACAGCCAGGATCTCTTCATCACCCTTACAGAGATCCTCTACCAACCATCCCCAGGCGATAACCCGGACACAGAATCAGGGGAAGGATCAGTCAGTAAGTGTTTTAAACATGTAAACATTTATTTTTAACAGAACAGGAATATTAACAATATTAACAATGGGTTTTGCATGATTACTTTGCCCTAGGTGCTTAACGTTTCAGTACTTGACAGTGCAACTACTGAAAAAAAAAAATCTAACAATGTCCGGTTTAGCATGATTGTTTTGCCATAGGCGCTCTACTCTTTAGTCCCTGCCAGTGCAGCTACAGTAAAATCCGGTCTATATGTCTGGGGATAGAGCAGAAATCCTCCTGGGACATCTCCACGAAGCTCTCCTGGAGGTAATTGGAAAGCCTTTGCATCAGGTTCCTGGGGAGAGCGGCCTTATTGGGTCCTCCGCGGTAGGAAACGTTTCCGCGCCAGGAGACAATCAAGTACTCGGGTATCATCGCCTTGCAGAGCACGGCAGCATACGGCCCTGGTCTTTGCAGGCTTTCCCGAAGCATCCGTTCTTTCTCCGTCTCTGAAATCCTCATCAGAGTGATGTCGCTCATGGTGACCTGCTTTGAATTAGGTAGGGGAATGTTAGTATTGGGACTGCTTGCCTGTTCCTTTACAGAACTGTAACCGGCGGCTTAGAGCCACGCGGTGGAGGCGGGAGAGGAGCAGCATACAGGGATCTTTCCCTGGGACAGCCGCGAGGGGGTGGGACAGGGGCAGAGTTCATGCTTGCCGGATTGCTGGCAGCAGGGACTGGCATTGCTTTGAACGTGAAAGGAGGCCAGTGCTATTATTAAAGTTTTAAGCAGCCACAAGTCTACGGCTTACCACGTCAGCCTGTTACCCAAATTCCGCTGTCCTGTCCCGCTTGTCTGATCTGCACTGCAAGACCCCAGGCACTGAATGCGAAGGAGGAAAATTCGACCTTGTCCTGAGTGCACATGTGATAGGTGCTGTGCATGGTCTTGTTCACAGAGAAAGACTATGTTCTTTGTTCAACCAAAAATTTATCTTTCTGAGGAATTCACTCCCTTTTTCCCATCCCACAGCTGCGACTGTCTCCCGAACTACCCTGGCATCACACTCCCAGAGGCTAGCGCAGATTAGGCGTAGGAAGAAGAGGACACGGGAGGACATGTTCTCGGAACTTATGGGCTGCTCCCGAGCCCAGGCAGCCCAGCAGACCCAGTGGAGGGAGAACTTGTCCCAAATGCACCGATCACACATGGAACGGGAGGAGAGGTGGCGGCAGGAAGACCAGCAGGCGACTCAAACGCTGCTTGGACTACTGAGGGAGCAAACCTACACGCTCCAGCACCTTGTGGATGTTCTGCAGGACCGGAGGCAGGAGGACAGAGCCCCGCTGCAGTCTATCTCTAACCGCCCTCCCCCGCCATAAAGTCCCATACCCCCCTCACCCAAAGTCCCAAGAAGGAGGGGCGGCAGAGTCCGTGAAAACTCTCACTCCACCCCTGCAGACTGCTCAAGTACCAGAAGGCTCTCATTCCCCAAAATCTGATAAGTCCTTTCCTTCCCCCTTCACCCAAGCCCCCGTCCCAGTTTCATCCCCCAGTTTCATGTGTGGTTGCTAATAAAAAATACGTTTCTGTTAATTACTGTTTCCATCATGTTCTTTTAGAGGAAAGTCTGTTTGAAGGGGGGGAAGGGGGTTGGTAATTGGACAGGACAGTCACCTTTACCAGGGTACAGACACGGGGGCAGGTTCAGCAGCAGGGCACACACACATTGCAGTCACTAGTTACCCTGGTCAGTCTGGGAGGTGGTTTTCATGTTCTGTGGGGGGGGGAGGGGGGCTATGTGACTTTGTAGAGGGGGAGGGCGGTTAGAGATCTTATGCAGCGGTCCTTATCCTGGATCACAGAGCCACGCAGCAGGGGATCTGTAACCGTCCTCCCCCTGCCACAAAGTCACATAGCCCCCACACACACAGTCCCGAACAGGAGGGGTGGCAGGCTCTGTTGAAACAACCAGTCCACCAGTGCGGAGCCGGTCATTCCTGGAGTTTAGAAGCGTCCTTTGCATTACTACAGTACACCCGCTCCTCACCACAGTCTGCGTCCCATGTTCAACACTTTCCCGCGAAAACAGTAATAAAGAAAACAGTGTTCATTAACAAATTTGAAGTGATTTTATTTTTAAACGTGTGTTGGAAGGGGGGGAACGGGGTATGTAACTGGAGAGGATAGTGAACATTTACTGTATAAAGAAACGGGGGCAGGTTCAGCTTCTCTGTAAACAAACTTAATAGTCACAGGTTACCCTGCTCACTCAGGAACCTAGCTTTCAAAGCCTCCCGGATGCACAGCGCGTCCCGCTGGGCTTTTCTAATCGCCCGGCTGTCTGGCTGGGCGTAATCAGCAGCCAGGCTATTTGCCTCAACCTCCCACCCCGCCATAAAGGTCTCCCCCTTGCTCTCACAGAGATTGTGGAGCACACAGCAAGCTGCAATAACAATGGGGATATTGGTTTCGCTGAGATCAGCGTGAGTCAGTAAGGTGCTCCATCTCCCCTTGAGACGTCCAAAAGCACACTCCGTCACCATTCTGCACTTGCTCAGCCGGTAGTTGAAGAGTTCTTTTTCAGTGTCCAGGGCGCCTGTATAGGGCTTCATGAGCCAGGGCATTAGCGGGTAGGCTGGGTCCCCGAGGATGACTATAGGCATCTCCACATCCCCAAGAGTTATTTTGTGGTCCGGGAAGTAAATACCTTCCTGCAGCCATCTAAACAGACCAGAGTTCCTGAAAACACGAGCGTCATGAACCTTGCCCGGCCATCCGACGTTGATGTTTGTAAAACGTCCCCTATGGTCCACCAGTGCTTGCAGCACCATTGAAAAGTAGCCCTTTCGGTTAATGTACTGGCTGGCCTGGTTGTCCGGTCCCAGGATAGGGATGTGAGTTCCATCTATAGCCCCACCGCAGTCTGGGGATCCCATCGCGGCGAAGCCATCTATGATGACCTCCACGTTTCCCAGGGTCACTACCTTTGAGAGCAGAAGCTCAACGATTGCGTTGGCTACTTGCATCACAACAACCCCCATAGTAGATTTGCCCACGCCAAAGTGGTTCGCGACTGACCGGTAGCTGTCCGGCGTTGCAAGCTTCCAGAGGGCTATGGCCACTCGCTTCTGGACAGTCAGGGCTGCTCGCATCCGGGTGTCCTTGCGCTTCAGGGCAGGGGACAGCAACTCACAAAGTTCAAGGAAAGTTCCCTTATGCATGCGAAAGTTTCGCAGCCACTGGGATTCATCCCAGACCTGCAGCACTATGCGGTCCCACCAGTCCGTGCTTGTTTCCCGGGCCCAGAATCGCCGTTCCACAACATCAAGCATGACCCATTGCCACCATGATGTCCTCGGCGCGGGGTCCCGTGCTTTGTGACAGGTCTGTGCCACTCTCAGACTTCAGGTCCTCACCGCGCTGCCGTAGCCTCCTCGCCCGATTTCTCAGCATCTGCCTCTGGGAAAGGTGGATGATAAGGTGCGAGGTGTTGACAACGGCCATAACTGCAGCGATGGTCGCAGCGGGCTCCATGCTCGCAGTGCTGTGGCGTCCGCGCTGTCACTGACCAGAAAAGTGCGCGAACTGATTTCCCGCCGGCGCTTTCAGAGAGGGAGGGCGGGAGTGACAGTTGGATGACGACAGTTACCCAAAACCACCCTCAACACATTTTTTTCCCCAGAAGGCATTGGGGGTTCGACCCAGAATTCCAATGGGCAGTGGGGACTGCGGGAACTGTGGGATAGCTGCCCACAGTGCACCGCTTCCAATGTCGACGCTTGCCCCGTTAGTGTGGACTCACAAAGTCGAATTACTGTCCTTAGTGTGGAGACACATGTTCGACTTTGTAATATCGATTCCACATATTCGATTTAAGTAAAATCGAACTACTCTAGTAGTGTAGACATACCCTTTGTCTCAAGCTTCCTCCACTAAAAAGAGTCTGATGGGATTTTTGTGCTTCCTCCAGGTTCAGGAAGTGAAGGCAAGATAGATAGAACATCTATCTAGGTCTGATCTTTCACTCAAGTACTGAAGGCATTGAACACAGCTGTCTGTGACCAACACTGCGGCATCACAAGAACCACAGCACCTGAAGTCTGCCTTAATAGTGCCACAGAGGTTTGCAGACCCAACTACTGGTACAGAGGCACAGCAAGGCTGAAAAACTAGCCCTGGATGCCCACAATGACAATGGTGAAAAAACAACTTTTAAAAAAAACTAAACTAACCAGGATGAAGGAAGTGGTCTAAGGCCACTGATCCTTTGGTGGATGGAAGAAAAGAACAGTAGTGGGGACCATGCTCTTTTTTTTTTTTTTTAAAAACACACTTGGATGTCAGCATGTAGTTTGGAAGAGTGTCCATCCAACCTCAACAGACACTACTGGCTAGAAATTTCAGATATCACATATCTATGTATGAACATTTCCAAAGTGGGGATGTAAATAAACAATTTTGAAAAGAGAACTTGAGTTGTTTCCACTTAAACCTATAGCTCATTCTGGTCTCCTACATGGACTTACTGATTACATTTAATTTCTCAGCAACATGACATTTTCCCTCACACGTAAATCCCCAAAATCCAGGAGACAAAGTTGTTTGACATTGTTTGCACTTATTTTCATTTACTAAAACATGCACAAACTTTCAGGGAGGGTCTTTAATGGCTCCCAGTTTTCATCCTCTTGGCATCCATGTAGAACTCAGCTTGTCTTTTCCAGCACCTTATGATAATAGCCTCACCACAATTTTAGTAGGAACCTGGAACAGCATTCTTATACTTCAGCTTTACTCAAAAAAATAATACTTCCTCGGTTTTCCATTTGAAAAATAATTTTAAACACATGCACACACGGATTCTTTTAATCACTTATTTTAGTTTTCTAATGACATCGTCACATGAAATATTAGGAGTTTGATTTGTAATAAAAAGAGATGAATAATCCAGTGATCCCAGTGGGGGGGAAAGTATCCTGTTCTGGCTAGTCCAGTAGGTCTCCCTACATGCTAATTTTCCATCCCTTTTGAAAAGAAGTCTTACCATAATTAAACTGACTGTTCGACTTTTCACAGTTGATGATGTTAAACCGGTAACCAATGCCTGGCCGCATTCCACTGACTTCAAAATAAAACCATTGGTGATAGTGATTGCTGTTTATATCTGAGTTCAGAATGAGATCATACTCGTTTCTGAAGATTAACAAAGAGAAATAAGTCTTCTTAAAATAAGAAATTCGCAGTACATATGCAAAATAAGAAAATGAAAGATATCTTACTTTCTAATTTGAATAACTTTGCGCAGATTTCCAGACTCAAATTTGGAGTTGAACTTCAAAATCTCCCCCTCTTCTGGCACTGAATAACTTTAAAAGAAAGGGGAAAAAGACCATTTTAAATAAGTGAAATGGATCTTTGGAACTCATTTGTTAATTCAGATTTTTGATTGGAAAGCTATCTAGAATAATACATTCAGGATTACAGCAAAAAAGGTACAGCATTGCCCTGATTAGGACTACAGGCTTTACCACAGACTTCATCTTTATCTTAAGCCAGAATAGTTTCCTTGAAGAAAACAAAATTGGCAATCATCAAATTGAAGATTGTTTTACCACAAATATAGCCTACCTGGGATTATCAAGGTCATACATGACTCTGTCTATAATATCATTCTGATGAATCAGTCTTTCAATATCTTGGGATATTTTTGTCCTGTAGTAAGAAGAGAGTCCTCACTTAAAATACATTTTAGAACAGCAGTTAGAAATGGTACATAACAATCTGTTTGTCAATCAAAGCTATAACACAACATGCAGGGCCTGATTTTCAGTGAGGCCTCCATGTCATCCCCATGTGTGCACTTGTGGTATGTAAGCACCTGCATACACAGCTGACCAATTCTAACACTTGCATGTGCAGGGGTTGAATCTGCATGTACAAAACCCATTAGGATTTAACTTTTATGAAATAATTTGTTCTTATAATTATAGAAGAAGCTCAGAGTATGTGATTAGCTATATTATTTGATATTAGTGCTTAAATCTGTAACCTTTGAAAATGATTCAGTTATAAGAGTAATTTATACAAGTCCTTCTGTAACTAAAATTATAAGAGATTTTAAGAGCTAGGCCAATGTTTCTCAAATGCGGCCATAGTGGCCGCATGCAGCCACCAGGGGCTTTTCATGCGGCCATGACAGCCTCCTGGGCAATGATTGGGGGCGGGGGGGGGGAGCGGAGAGAAGCATCGGCCCCTCCCACTCCCTCCTTGTTGCTCCTGGATGTGCCACCTTGCACTGCCTTTGGAGAGAGGTGGGGCACAACGCTGCAGGAGCAAGTTGAGTTCTTGACCCACCTTGGGGGAGGGGGTTTGGGCCGCAGGCTCCAGCGGTAGGACTTCAGGAGCCTAGCCGTGCAGCCCCAGGCTCCGACCGCAGGGCAGTGGGTATGGATACACACACACCTGGCTCCGGCCACACAGCCCTGGCCTCCAGCTGCAGGGCTTCAGCCTCCAAGACCTGTCTCCAGCTGTGTGTCAGGTGCTGGCCCCCAGTTCCAGCCATGCGGTGGCCCCAGGCTCCAGCTGCACGGACCCTGCCCCAGCTGCATGGCAGCAGGCGCCAACCCACAGCTCTGTTCCCGGGCTCTGGTCACGTGGTGGCGGGAACTAGCCCCAGGTGCCGATTCATGGCGCTGACCCCTAGCTCCGGCCATGCAGCAGCAAGCGCTGGCTCCTGGCTCAAGCCACGCAGCCCCAGGCTCTGGTACCCAGCTCCGGGTTCTGGACATGTGGCGGCAGGTACTGGCCCTGGGCGCTGACCCACAGCTCCAGCCATGTGGCAGCTGGGTCCGATCCCTGGCTCTGGCCACGTAACAGTGGGATTCATCACCCATCCTCATCACCCCTGGCCCCGCTGCCTCCCACTGCTCCGCATCCAACCCCCCATTGCCCCGGGCCCCCACCGCCTCCCCCAGCCCCGCATTCATCCCACCTTCGCCTCTGGCCCTTGCTGCCTCCCCTTTTGCTCCCCACCCCTTCAGGGAAAAAAGTGATATTAACAAACATACAAGTATCTCTTTTCATAGCCTCCCAGGTACCCACTAAGTGTGCTGTGATATTTACAAATATCACTCCCGAAGGGGGAGGCAGCATTATTTTTATTACTGACTCTGCCAAAAAAAATCCTACAAATATACATTACAATGATTTGTGTGTATCTGTGCATATTTAGTTGTTTTTCCTAAAGTTAATTAAGTATTTTAGGAAAAAGTGTCAGTACGGCCATCAGTGAGTTGGTGGCTGCACTCTGAGGCCACCAAAAAATTTGTTGAGAGAACCCCTGGGCTAGGCAGTGGAGTGAATGGGTTAGTACATTAGTCTTTCACCTCTGGAGAGCTAGGTTCATCTACTAAATGGGTCGCAAATGAGAATGAGTTTGGTGGTCTCAGACAAATGCCTGGTGGACATTTTATCCATATTACAAAACCACTGCATAATTGGCAGTATCTGTTCAAAGGAGGCCCTGGACTGGAAAAGCTAGCGTGTATATTGGTAGAACTGTGTGGGAAAACATGCACAGCAGCTGCAATAAAATAGAAGGAAGCCAATCAACCCTGTAGGGCACTGTAGTGCAGTCTGAAAGTGGGCTCAGGCTGGCAATTATCTGCACTTGAAGTAAATGTTGCTGGGGAGAGGAAAGGCCATTTCTTGTTAAGCCAGGACAGTCTAGCCACAAGAGTAACCAATCTTAAAAGAAATCACAAGCCCAACAAGTTACCAGGGTAGCAGGAAAGATGGTCTAGAAGATAGGCCACTGGGACCTGGCTTCAATTCCTGACTCAACCACAGACTTCCTAGATGACCTGGGCAAGTCACTTTATCTACCCTATGCCTCATTATCCCTATTTTACAGATGGGGAACAATTTCCCTACCTCAGCAGGGTGTTGTCAGAATAAAATCCATTAATGATGTGAGGTACTCAGATACCTCAGTGACAAGAGACATAAATTAAAATGATAATGGAAATGGAAATTAATTCGGAAAAACATACAAAAGAGAAAAACTGCAGAAAAAAATAAAGGTAATAAGATACTGGACATTTTTAACCAGCTAATAGTTATGGGGCAGGAAAAAAGCTAGCTGAAGACATTTATGTTTAAAAACAAAGGGAAAACTGGAAAAGCAAAAAAGATTACTTATCTGCAATTCTTGTTTTTTAACAGCAGCAATTATAATAGATTCACACTCTTGGATTTTGGTCTCAGGCACGAGATTATTTAGAAGTTATCAAGCAAAAGAATTTAGAACTTTGGGAAGAGAGCTATTTATATACCCAACCCCACTAAAAGTCAGCATGTGTGAACGCTCTGTCGGTATTTTGTCAGCACTTTTGCCGACAAAATACTTCTAGCCCCGCGAGTGGCATTAGCTTTGTTGGCAGGAGAGCGCTTCTGCCAACAAAGCCACGTTCACACTGCCACTTGCGCCAGCAAAACTTTTGTCTTTCGCGGGGCGGCTTTTTTAAGTACCCATGAAAGACACAAGTTTTGTCGACAACGTTGCAGTGTAGACAAGCCCTTAGTCTGGTGTGAGTGTGTGAGAGAGAGAAAAAGAGAGAAGGGGGAGGGAGAGAGACTCACCAAAGCACACAATCCCAGTGTAATCCCTTTGTATTGAGTAGAGAGAATAGAGTTTTAGCCTACTCTGCTCTTGGAATTCCAGTTTTGGGTCCTGAACACACAGACAGTGACATGAGTTTCTTCCCCAAACTTCCAACTGCCTCACAAAGCCACTTCCTCTCCCCCAGCAATCCCATCTCCTATCCTACAGTAATGTCTTTACTACAAAACCCTGGAAACAGGTAGTTTCCCCTGGAGATTTACTTTATACTAGGAGTAAAATTTTCAAAAGTACTTAATTCCCCACAGAAAATCAGTAGACTGAAGCTCCTAAGTCACTATGGCAGTTTTGTAAATTTTGCCCTAGCCTTTAACCATACTCATTTTCAATTTGTTTTTGTAAAGCTTGAATTCCTGGAGAAACCAAGTTCACTTTTAATGTTTTCCTACAATAAATCCATCCCATTGTGGTAATGTGATCAACTGAGTTATCTGCACCCACTGAACTTTTAGGATGCTGTGCCTTATAAAATGAAGGCAGTATGGTTTCTGAATGAAGTTCAGAAGGATTCAAATGAAATTCCAGTTGGTTCCACAGGACAAGCATGAATGTACTTTAAGAACTTTCAGACTGTAAAAATATATCCCTCACCCCAATTCCAGTACCTTAAAGTAAAATAAAGAAAATTCTCAGACTAAACTCAGGTTTACACAAACCAGCCCTAGGCATAAATGCAAATATACATTCACCTGTTAAAAGGGAAAGTTATGTGTTAATTGGTTAAGGCACCAAAATAAAATAAGTACTGGAACAGAGATGCCAAATTTATCTTTAATGTAATGTAAAGATTTCTCTAAGCATAAGATTACCCAGTAGTATTCTGAGGAGAGTATAAGATGCCTGAGGTACTGAAAGATTAGTCAAGGAGTATAAAAGGGGATGGTGAAACTGACCATTCACATGTACACTGATTTATGTAATTGGGAGCTAAACTCTTCTTTCTGGCAGAAGGAAGAAAGAAGAAGTGTCAAAAGAATTGACACTATGCAAGTTCACTGCTTTTTTTTTGCAAGCTCTAAATTCTTCTGGTTGATAACACATTCCCTAACCCCAGGCTGAAATCCACGAATGTTAATATTTTATAATTCACTGCTTAATTTTAGAAATTTAACGTTTACTGCTTGCACCTTCAGCTTATTTTCACATTAAGTTTCAAAGGCAGTATTTCTCATTTCAGAAAACCTTTTTTGGTAGCTTAACATTCAAATAGCTTTAATTACAGAAAGTTACACCAAAAACTTCTTTCACAATAGAACTTCAATACTTTATTTACTAGTTTGTACCAGCTTGTCACTTGCCTTCAGAATAATTTTTTTTTTAATGTTTTAGAGACAAGACTATAAACAAAGATGATAATTTTATACATTAAACATGAATTTCTCATTTGTACTATTCTTGCAACAATTGCTCTTTCAAAGAAATATGTCAACTCACCTCTGCACACCATAAGGTCTTTCTAAGATAGGCTCCTTAAATGGAGGTGGAATGTGACCAAAGTAATCTGGGTAAGCCACTTCTGAATATTCAGGGACAGACTTTGTGTTTTTCACAATCTCAATATAAAGATCAGGGTCATGGAGTGGCAATATATCAGGCACCTCAAGCATCACTTGCTCCCCTGACGAATGCGAGCTGGAATCATCCTCTTCCTCGGTATCAACACCCGTGAAGCACAGCTTTCCCAGCTGGACAGATCGTCCCTCAAACAGAACACTTCCGCAAGATGAAACATGCTGGCAAGGTTTATTACAAGTGAGTGAGGTAAGGCTAGTTTTGCTTTCTTTCTTCATTACGCACCCTGTTTTGTAATACTGTTCATTTTTTGAAGTATTCTGCAAAGTGATCCTGTCCAAGCCTTTCACTATTTCATAGCTTAGGCACTGACATGACGAAAGCAGTTTCTTTTGATCGCTTTGCTGCTGTAAGCTATTGTCTTTCTTGCGATCTTTCTTTGGCAGATCCAAAAAGGCTGGCCTTCTATTACACTCCTCTGCTTGCAAGTGATTGCTCTCTTTCACAGTAATTCCCTTGACTGAGTGATTTGCTTCTACAGACTGCTCCTCTCCTGCCGTAGGAACAACAATAGGTCCACCTAGATTTGCATCAGATGCAAAAGGCTTTGGTTCCTTGGAGACTAAGTCATAGTCCTTTACAAAGAAAGAACATGATTAGGAAACAATTTTTCACATTTTAAAAGTTTGTTTGTATTTGCTTATAAAAGGACACTTTTCTTTTCCATGATTTTTAGTGGTAATAAAACAAGTATATTTTGGAATAAGGTATTCAGGATAAACATAATCCTAAAAAGTTTGCCTGTTAAGCTACAGAAACGTTGTAAAAGTTAACCTTTTACAAATGAAAAATGCCACCACCTAAATGAGGCAATTCTTCAGTGACATCACAAAACTTTCAAGTAATTTTTTTTAAATTGTGCCATGAAATTAAAAAGTTGTGCAGCATTTAATCACATAGCATATATAATATTGCTGACATAAGGACTAGAAAGGTTCATCAACAACATCTTTGTCCTCTCATTAAAACAAAAACTTTCCACTTGATCAATTTTTACCCATTTGCTTTCCAGTTTTTCCAACATTCAGATATTTAAACAAGAAATAAAATGCTTTTCCCTCAAGTTTTGATTGTTTCCTAGTCCCTTCCCTCATGCAGATTTAGCAGTGTCCTGCTGTATGAAGTCTAAAGGATAATAATAGTTAGCTCTTATATGATGCTTTTCATCTTTAGATCACCAAATGCTTTACAAAAGGTGCGTAATCATCATTATCTCTATTTTAAAGCTGGGGACAATGAGGCAAAGAGATCAAGTAATTTGCCCAAGGTCACAGAGCAAGCCAACAGCAGAGCCAGGAAGAACACAGGTCTCCTGCCTGCCAAGCCAACAGTCAGTCAAAGTCCCCAGGGAAACTGTTTGTACACCTTCCTCAAAACCCCAAGTAGTACTTTTGCCATAAGAAGTCAGACAAAAAGTAGCTATGAGAATTCATCTTTCTGCAGTAAGGTATTTACTGTTTCAAACATAAGTCTTTCATGTCATCAGATATGTGCATGCAAACAGTGGGAAAGTGCTGTGCTATTCATAGCTTCCAAGGCCTGAAGGGAGCACTGTGATGATCAAGTCTGACCTCCTATATAACACAGGCCATAGAACTTCAAAAAGGACTTGTTTTGGGGAACTGGAGCATATTCTTGTAGAAAAAAAATCCAATCTTGATTTAGAAGAAGTTGCCAGTGACAGAGAATCCACCACAACTCTTGGATACTTGTTCCAAATGATTAATTGGAACAGTTCCTAGTAAACACGTACACCCTATTTCCAGTCTGAAATTGTTTAGCTTCAACTTCCAACCATGAGATCTTGTTATACCTTTGTCTGCTAGACTGAAGATCCCATTATCAAGTATTTGTCCTCTATGTAGGTATTCATAGAATCATAGAATATCAGGGTTGGAAGGGACCTCAGGAGATCATCTAGTCCAACCCCAGTTCCCTAAATGGCCCCCTCAAGGATTGAGCTCACAACCCTGGGTTTAGCAGGCCAATGCTCAAACCGCTGAGCGATCCCTCCTCCCACTGAGCTATCCCTGAGGCTGATCAAGTCATCCCTTAACTTCTTTGTTAAACTGAATAGATTGAGCTTCTTGAATCTATCACATTTTCCAAATCCTTCATCATTCTCGTAGCTCTTCTCTGAGCCCTCTCCAATTTATCAACATCCTTCTTGAATTGTGAGCACCTGAACTGGAGATAGTATTCTAGCAGTGGTTGCACCAGTGCTATATTAAAAGATAATATAACCTCTCTACTTCTACTGTCCATGCATCTAAGGATCACACTAGCCCTTTGGGCCACAGCACCGCACTGGGAGCTCATGTTCAGCTGATTATCCACTATGACTCCCAAGTCTTTTTCAGAGTGAGTGATTCCCAGCTTACAGTTTCCCATCCTGTAAGTAAGGCCTATATTCTTTGTTCCTTACATTTGGCCATTTTAAAACACATATTGTTTGCTTCCATGCAGCTTGCCAAACAATCCAGATTGCTCTGTATCTGTGACCTGTCCTCTTCAATATTTACCACACCCCCAATTTGTGTGTCATCTGCAAACTTTCAGTGTTGATTTTATATTTTCAACAGAACAACTTTATACCAGTTTAGAAATATCAAAGTTACTATTTTATTTTTTATAACACAGTAAATATTTTTTCTGATTAGTTACAGCAAGATAGACACTGATTTATAATCTTAAAACAAAATTCTTATATTGCTAGTGTCACTAGGTAAGCTGAAAAAGTGATTATCATTAGAGACTAGCTCAGTAACATAATTAAGATGCAGGTACACGGTTAAAAATGACTTAAAATGGTAGTCTAGAGTTGACAAACCATTGCTTCAATTATTCCATATCAACTTTGATTAGTTTACAAATAAAAATTTATTGCTGATTATACAAATAGCTGATACTACAATAATAAAAGTTGTTGCGCATCACAAAATTACACACAAATGAGATGCTTGAAGTACTGTTCTATTCTGAAAAGCGATCATACAAAAAAAAAAAAAAGGGACACTCTCTTACGTAACAGATCTTCTGTTATTTCAGAGCCCTCTTTACAATTGTGCCAAAAACAGTTTTTACTGTTTTCTCTTATTAGCACAGCTACCATAGCAAGGAGAGAGTGACCTGTATCCTATTCTTTCATGTGTATCAAACGGATTGTTTACTAATATTTCAAATTAGTTACATCTGTGCAAAACCACTGGAGGTGATGGGTTTACAGAGGCGATGTGAAAGGTGACACAAAAGACAACTTTGAAACTATAGAGTTAAATATGGCATCCAGTTTGGCCTACAGATTTTTATTATTAATAATTATATGTGGTGTTGAACAAGAGAGGGGCAAAATTCAACCTGTGCTCCAAGTCAAGTTGATTTCAAAGGGCAAGAAGTAAGAAAATTACATTTTTATTTGTAAACCAAGTAAGTTTGTTCTGGAAGTTATTGAGACAAACATGGAATCCCATACCACCATTTTTACAATTATGCTTCAGAAGAGCTCTACAGTTTACGAACATGTTAAAGTCACTTTCATTTAATGTCATGAACACCCGCTAATACTACCTGCTAAATCAATTGATTACTTGGAGCCTAAAGTCAATAGGGGGTCTTGTGACCATTGCCCTTTTAGCACAGCAATCATCATCCTAGCACTAAAAGCCAGCATTCATTGTTATTTAAAAGAATTAAAATATAATCTACGGTAAAATACAGATTCATTACCAAGTATACCCTGGTTTCACATGCTCATAGCATTCTATATGTGGACTCCATCCCGCCCCCACACACACTTTTCTCCCCTATCTCCAATCCAAGTGTGACTAAGACACCATGAGCCTTTTTTTAAATTACAAATGCAGACATGGGGTAGTTATGCTTGCTAAAAACATTATTCCCACACAATAACTTTAAACAGCTGAACTTAGCTGTTTGGCATGCAAGCAAGACGTACCCCATTGATGACTATGATCAAGTTTGAAAAGGAGAGCTTGGAAGTTAACAGAGTTATGAACAGTTAAAAACAGAGCATTCAAGATATGCAGAACAACAATTCATTAAATCTAACATGCTTTACCTTGAAGTTATCTGAAAGTTCTGGGAAAAATTGTTCATACATTTTTAGTTCTTCTACGGGTCGTCCCAATTCTTGCCTTGGTTTCAGTTTATTAATATCAGTCTCTATATCGTCGTTCTGCAAGAGCAACAGAAAAAGTTAACTACACAAGTATTATAAATGAACTTCTCAGCTAAATTACAAAAAAGAGCTTCAATCTAAAAACAGTTATATATTAAGCACTAATACTTTACATAAGCCAGACACTAGCATACCAATCTGATTTGTCTGCAGAAAACCTTGGACATATCACCACATGTCACAAATTTTCCTGCCTGTATGCAACTGTATTATCCACAGATCTCGTAAAACATCCCTGTGTAATATATTTCTCAGATGAAATCATCCAAGATGAGTACAAAGTTATGCGGGCTGCGGATTGGGATAGAGATTGTGATGGGGGAACTAATGAGTTGAGTGCAGATGGGATATAAAATCATTTAACTGCTTACTCCCTTGCTTTAACAACTTGCATTAGTTTGGCTTATGGCCTACTCTTAAAAAAAAAAAAACAAAAAAACCCCACCACCACTTATCTCAAAGTTAAGTAAGGTTTTGATGTACACATTTCCCAGCTTTAATAAGCATGTTTCAACTCTGGTAATTATTCACACGGACACTATCAGTATTGATGCATATTGTACCCTGTATAACGACTCATGCAGAGCCCTGATACCTCAACATGCTCTTCCCTCTCCACCATCCCACTTCTTGTACTGGCCCTGAAGAATTGCATTTCTCCTGCATGTCCCGCTGTATTGCCCCATTGCAACCTAATGTAGCCCAGACTTCCCTCATGCTTCACTCCTACTGTTCCCTCTTTCCATTCCATAACACCCCTGCACCTTACCACAACTTCACCTTCCTACAACATTTGGCTTTTAAACACTGATAATCTGTTTATCAGTATCCATTTTATGGATGTTAGGCAGAGGGGCTGCAAGAGAAAGGGCTCTGGATGAGATGACAGTGCAGCAGGATTGCATAAGAGGTATGGGGGAAATCCTAAAGGAGGGTCACGTGGAGGTGGGAAAAGTGGGGCTTGATAGTGGAAGGCGGGAAACTTCACTCCGACAAAAAGCATGCATGTTTAATTTGAAAAAGGTCAAATGTGGCCCAGGGCCAAAGTTACTCTCTGAAAGTATGTGCATGCATATGTACAGTTCGTGGGGATTGTGGTTGTTTAGGGAGGAATGCAAAAAGTGCAGATGGCAGAGCAATACTTCAGAGGGAACATTTTAAATGTTTCTGCTATAAACTGCATGTAAATTCAATTGCCCTCTGAAGAGTCAGTGAGCCAACATCTGGATATATTAAATTACTGATGTGTGAAACAGATATTTTAGACCTACCCTAGGTAGGAATCGTGAATCTTAACTATAGAAGATTTTTCCCCTCCCCCCAGAGGACATAAGGGAAGAAGACACCCAACTTCCATTCATTTTCAATGGACTTTCAGCAACTATCTCAATGCCCATCTCCATTACGCCCCTTTGGAAATCCCAGCTGGACTCACTACTGATATTGCCTTAATACGTGAACATATAGTTATGGGTATGGCAAAAGTGAACTTTTGAAGTAATGAAAAATATATTAATGGTATAAATCTGGTCCCTTTGATTGGGTCTAGTACTAACCTTAAAGAGGTGGTCCTTGTCATCTTCATTTTCATTTTCAATCTCACTTTCTGTTTCGATGTCGTCATTGTCATCACTTTCATCTACTACGTCATCCACTGTAATATAAAATGCTCTATAAGTAAGGCAGATGTAGGTTTTCTACAACATGTACATTCCAGAAAAAAATGTAATGTGTAAAACTTTTTCACTCACCAACTGAAATCTGTCAATACCACACAAATTAAACTTCTGTGAAACATGTGAACGCTAAATATTACCAGCTGTATCAGAAACAGAAGGCTCAGCTGGCAATACTGCAGAACCATCTATTACATTTCTGTCCAATAAGAACATTTAAACTGTTTTTCCACTTTTAAAAAAAATATATTCACATAGAAAATGTTCAACATATGCACTGAAGACACTTTGGACCAACTCCTCCGGACTGTGCCTACTCTGCTCAGCATGCGACCACCTCTTCCAAACAGGGCTGGGGAATTTAAGTTGCCTTTCTGGACACTTTGCACTGCTAGATTTTGGACTGGATCTGGCTCCAGTAATATGAAGGAAAAGACTTAGTGTTTTTAATTTATTTCAATGGAAAAAAAGTTAAGGTAAGCACATTAAACTGTTTGCATGATACAATTCAGGGACACTGGGCTAAATTCACTACTGATACGAGTGGGCATACTCCAGTGGCTTCAGTGCTTACGTATTCAGTTACACTATTGGTGAATTTGGCCTATTATGGATCACAGAAAATACTCTAAAAATTCAAATGGATTTTGTGCAGGAATTTTGCAGATTTTTTGTAAAAGATCATTTAGGCATTCATTCTGTTGATGGGTTCCTTAATGAATGCAATATTAGTGCCTATTTGGACAGTTGGAAGAAAGTAAATTCAGCCCATAGCCACACACGTGCAGACGAAATTGTTGTCAGCTAACCTGCACCTATATAGTACAGGAGACAGAATTTCACACTCCGCTCCAAAACCACAGACCTATCACTGAGCTGAAGGAGAATCTATATTAATTCACTCTCCCCGGTGAGCCCAAGCTCTAGAGGACTAGATAATCACAAACACATGTGCAAGTCTGATCCATCTAGCAGAGAAGTGTTAAATATATATACAAAAGCCAACGTATTACAAACTGGCCATACCTTCAGGAGGCAAACTGTACAGCTGAGCCACAGGACCACTAATAGGGATAACTGGTAGTTGGAAATGAAAAACACTTTTAATAGTTGGTAGTGGAAGACGGTTTTTAGGAAAACATTTTCTCATTATAAGACTTGATGTGTTGACTAGAGGATCAAGAGTTCTCACAGCAAGGCAATCCTGTTACAAAAAAGAAAGAATGAAAACAATGGAATGCAAACTACACAACTGTTTTTAGAAACATACAGCATTGCATCAAGAGCATACAAGAGACTAGAATATTTTAGATTATATTGCCACTGAAAAACTCCAGTACAACATGAATTTAATATAAAAATAGTTATACTAAGTTTTTAAGACAGCTTGAATAAATGGAATATATAAAAGAATCTTTGCCTACTCCATTTGACTGAAACCTGTAGATCCTCCTCCAACTCTGCTACACCTTTATCATTTGGAAGAGTATTCTCTTTGGAGCTCAAAGTCTCTCAATTGTAGCCTAAATTACTGCCAAGAAGTATAAAACACTTCCATCACATTGCATCTCTCCAGCTTTAGCCAAGCCAAAGAATGAGACCAAGCACAGAAGTTAAACTTAATTCTTGTAGCAGGGCAGAGCCCTACCACCACATAGAACAGGACCTTGACAATGATGCACTACCTTAGTATGTGATTTCTGCTTTGCATCTTAGGATGTAAAGCAGAAGACACAGAGAGAGACCTTCAGCATTGAACTAGAAATGGAAAGCAATAAAAACCCCTATCAATTCACATAACTGGTGCTGTAACCAGCCTTGACAGCTGTAATTCAGCACAGGAAATTTGTTAATGCCCTTCCCAATAATAGTGGAGCAATGTACTAGAGGTTCTGTTGCATGAGAAACATTTCTTTTGTGGGGCAGGGTGTCAAAACATTTAACCAATGAAGGTTTGGATTAGCTAAACATTTACAAGTGTTTTATATATGGTTATACACGGATGTAAAAAATGCCAAATACACTTTTACCACGGAACAGTAGTTTACAATTTACACTGTAACAATTCAATGGTGAAAAGCAATTTAACTGTTTTGTACTTTTGATCTTAGAAGTTAGCATTTATTTTCTACAAGACAACTACTGAGAGTCATGAGATCATTTATAAAAGCATACCCATAATAGCATACAGAAAAAAATCTTCATGTGCAATCTTAGCAAAAAAAGAAATTAAACTCACTTGGGAAGTGTTGTAAAGAATTTTCATCCCATTGGCATCAATAAACGCTTTCCTTCCCAACTTGATATTTGTAACACTTTTAATACACTGTAAAATTCCTTTGCGGATCAGCATGTGTCTGTGTCGATTATCATGACGGTGCCAATCTACATAACTTGTTAAAAGCACATGGACATATCCTCTGTCTACCGCTCTCCTGGCATTCGTTTCTTAAGAAAGAAAAGAAATTAAAGATTGCTAAAGCATATAATAACCTAGCTCTTACCATACTTCCTATCTTTCCTACAAATATCATCATTTAAGGTCTCCTGTACTGAAAATACACATCTCAGCTTCTTAATTCTCCATAAATCTCAGCTTTGACTTTGCATTTACACAGCAGCAGACCAACATTATTCTGAGATAATATTTCCTTCCATTGGCATTCTCTTAGGGATGAATCCTAAAAACTACTTACTACTACACAGTCCTGAGAGTCACAGAGGCAGGTTGTGTACTAATCTGATCAAACGTGAGGATAGCAAGCGCAGTACAAAATGGGGCAGAGACCTTATGCAAACGAGCTTCCAGTCAAACCCGTGAAGGTGTTCTCCATAAGCCCTGATCACCCCTTAATGCCTACCCAATCTACTGAAGTTCTATGACTACCATAACTTGCATACAGTTCTTGTGAGGGAAGAGGATCTGCTGAGCAGCCCCATGCCCGCAGCTCCTCCAGCGCAGCTGTACCGTCCCCAGACCTTCCACACAGGGTCTCCTCCATCTGTACAGCAGCCCCACCAGAGGACAGGGCTGGGGGCAGTACAGCCGCGTCGGAGGAGCTGCGGGCGTGGAGCCACCCAGTGGCCCTACGTTCTGCTCCTTTCACCCTTGCGGTTCCGAAGGGTAAGGGGGAGAGGGGATCATGGGGAGGGGGACAGGGAGAGTGTGGGGGCCCCGGGCTGGGGAGGAGTCACGTGGAGGGTCACTTGAGGACATCACATACCCTCCACCCCCGTACTAGTAAGAAATGGATTCCACTTGCACCACTGCCCATAACATACTTGAAGAGTCAGTGGGGGTAGACTTTGTCGTCATCACTCTCCTCTCGGGCTCAGCTGCCATTGGAGAAGGATGGGCCCTGTCACTTACCTACAGCTGCACGTTAGAGCTATCAGCAAAAGGACACATACTCTAGACCCCAAGACCTATTTAGTGACAGCCTGACTATGACGGAGACTACATTGGTGCCATCCCCCAGCACCCTCACTGACACATGGCAATCAGGGCTGGGAGAAGAGGGTCATAGACTCTACTGTTGAGGGGCATGGTTGAATATCTGTAAAAAGGCTTCTTCCACTTCTCAGGATCCAAGTCAGTCTCTGCCTAAGTGAGGTAGTCTCTGTGCTGCATAACTGGATAAAGAGTTACTATGTATTATACATGTGGCAATAACGAACAGAACATATTAATGATGAATTTCAACTTAAATTCTACATTTTCTGGCTTCTCTTGGTTTCAGCCAGACTCTTAATATTATTTTAATCTAGTTTTTATATTTTAGTAAAAATGGTTTCTAGTAGTCACTTACTTGATTTTAGCAATGCAGCAAGTGTGTCTAAAGCAACCCTGTCAACATAAAAAGAAGAGAAACAACAAATTAGTAAATTTAATCTACAACATGGTAAAGCCATACAAAATTTTTTTTTACAGGTGACTGATGTATGAGGAAGGGGTGCAAAGGTAAAAGGCAATAACTACCATAAACACAAATTTTAAGATTTTGCTACATGGCTCTGGACAGGCCTTAATAGAATCTTGGGTTTGTTGTGGGTGGAAAGAGGTGTTCTCCCCTTGTCATTTAACTGACAAATACTAGGAAAGATTTGATTTTAAAAAATATTTTCATCAAAAAATAAGTTTGAAAAGCATCTTAAATTTTTGAATATAGTATGTTAAAAACTTTTACTCACTTCATAAGGCCAGTATTCTTTTTACTAAAAGGGCCAATGATCTTGAACATCAGTTCCACAACTCCATTTTTCCCCAAGGATACTGCATTTACAGCTGAAAGGAGTAAAAATTAAACAGATTTTGTGAAATAATATAGTATGAAGATTAGAATAATCTTGAAAATACTGATTTGCTGAAATCAAAATCAAGCAGAGGGAATTTACAAGTTGAATTTAGATAATATGCACTATTGTGCTTAAACCATGAAACAAAAATGACAAAACAGCATCTTACTAATTCTTATTTCACGAATCCACCATTCCACATTACTCCTCAGCAACCATTTAATATGAGTGCTCTAGTGAAGTTTCATATTATTGTTTTTACAAACTATATTACTGAGCCTTTACTAATATGCTTTGAAGTTAACTATACTTGTTGAAAAAAGTGAAGATACTGCATCACAAAATGTTTCACTTTATGGTTTGTTCATTTACTGATTCTCAGAATTCAGGAATCTGCAATGAGTTTCCCAGTGAGTGCTACTTAGCAAGGGTCTACTGTAGCTGTACTATTGAAGTGTATCACAAAGATGGATAGCTGGTTGTGTGTCTGAATGGGCTCAGTAGGAAGTCTGGTATCAAGCACTGCACAGCCTATTATTTCAGAAAAGCAGGCACTTGCTAATGTGCCATTCACTTTAAAGAGGCAGCACAATCGTTGCAGGAAGGTGCAGGACTGTGAATATCACAGAAGGGAATATACGTTAGTATTGGCAGAAACCTGCTGTTGCACATGCACACTGAAGTCTCTGCTGGTTTCTATTTCAGGTCAATAAGAACTAATGGAAATCATTATTTACAATGTACGCTTTGTTTCCCCCTCCTTTATTAAGATGTACAGCAAGGAGGTTTTTCTCCCTTAGAATGTATATTTTGTCAAGAAGAGGATAGTTTCTAAAATTAACATAAGAAAATGTATCAAGCTCCGATGACTAGAGGGTGTCCTTCAGCATCAGGATGAAAAGGTACACTAGTCATTGTCTGAAGTGAGTGCCTGCAGTATTATTTCTATTGCAGTACCATCTAGAGACTCCAATCAGGATTGGGATCCCACTGTGCTAGGCATTGTACAAACATGTCTATGTCCTCCTATAAGAGCTTGCAACGAGAGACCATAATCTAGCTGTAAGGGGATATATTAAAAAAAAAAAAAAAAAAGTGTGTGGGGGGAAGGGCCTGGCTCTGGATGTACACAGGATGGCTACTTGGGAAGTCTGAAATGTTCAAAAACAAGCAGCACCAGCGGTGATGTATGTGATTCCCTGCTGTGCTATTGGCATCTGTTATGCAACTTTTTGGAAAAATATAGTGAACAGAATTTGCCCTGGTGAATTTTTTCAATATACAGAATCTACATGGAGACATTTCTGTCCCAACAACATTGTTTTCCCAACAAACTGGTCAAGCACAACCACTTGGTTATAGGACTGTTTAACTTTCTTAACAATTTTCATTCCACCTTCTCAAAGCGATCCACACTGGATCTTTCAAAAGGATAGTCCGTGGATCCATTCACAACAGAAAATTTCTGGTTGTTAGGAACTGAAACTTCCTTGATCAAATCACTTCCACACCCTTCAGTTGCAGCAAACTGCTTGCAAAGACTACCCTGAAATTTTTTTTCTTCAGGAATCTTTGTAAGCACCAGTTCATCTTTACCTTGCTCCACAGAAGCGTTGCTCTGCTGAGCCACTACCAACTCCTGAGTTTTACTTACATCCAGAATCACCTTTGGCTCATCAGGCGGACTCCTACACAGTCCCCTTTCAGGCAAACTGCTTTGATTTGAAACTACTTTGTTCTGCCTGTTATTACTTGAAACCACTTAAATCCTACTTTTTATACTTAATACAATCACCTTTGCTTATAAATTAACCCAGAGTAAGTAATTAATATCTGGGGAGCAAACAGCTGCGCATCTCTCTCTATCAGTGTTATAGAGGGCAGGCAATTTATGAGTTTACCCTGTATAAGCTTTATACAGAGTAAAATTGATTCATCTGGGGTTTAGGCTCCCAGAAAGACTGAATACTGGGTGCTGGGAAAGTCCCTGTTAACTGAGAAGCCCCTGGGCTAAGTGAATCTTCGTTTCGGTGAACTGAAGGGGGCGTGGCCCAACCTCTTGGTCTGTGCTGTAGCTAACTGGTGTGTCTAGCTCAGCAAGATGGGAGTGGAGGGAAGCCTTCTCTGGCAGGAGGTTTGTTCTCAGTGGTGTCCCAGCACATCTAGTAACAGTCTTGATGGAGTTACTGTGACCCAACCTGTCACAGTACCGAGTAAGGGACTGGCACTGATGCAGTGACCTAGGCGAAAGTCGGCAAAGCCAACAGTACCACGAATGGTGGACATACTGAAGTAGACACTGATGGCGTCTGATGCTGTTGCTTGCTCAGTGCAGAGGGTGTTGCATGCCTGGGTACCAACAGCTGGACTGAACAGAACCAGTCCCCAGTGTCTATGCTTGCCCGCCGCGCTGGCAAAAGGTACTGAGGCCCTATCAGAGCTGTGTCTCTCTTTCGTGCTCTGGGACTTTGCAGCCCCACCAGGGCTGGAAGAGGAGTCCTTCACCTCAACAGTACAGAGTTGAGAGGTCAACGCTTCGGAGACTCTAGATCTCGCCAAGAATCTGGGACTTCTTCAGAGTTGGCTCCTTAAGGTGAGGGTCCTCTTTTTAGAAGCCTTCCCTGAAGCTTCCAAAGTCTTCCCTTTCGTAGAGGAAGCCTGCGCTGGATCTGTCGGAGGGGGAAGAGGGGTGGTCTCCTGACCTGACTCAGAAACTGGCTGAAGAGTGTGTTCCATCATTAGCAGTCTGAATTTAATGTCCCGGTTTGTCCTTGCCCTGGATGTGAGAGCCAGGCAGAAGCGGGACTCCCGCAAGAAATGGACACACAGAGGGGTGGTCACTCGCAGCTATAGCCTCTCAGCAGGAGAGGCAACATTTGAAACCTGACAAGCCAGGCATGCCCTGTCAGGAAAATAGTAAGTCTCTCCCAGGGGAAAGGGGAATCAAACAATCCTTTCACTCATCATCTAACTATACAGACAACTGACAACTATAAAAAACTATCTTAACCTCTACTGAAATATTAGAAAAGCCAAGGCAAGCTTAAGACTGCCACACTAAGGCTCCATCTCAGGCTGAAGCGGGTGAAAAGGAACTAATGGCTGTTCACCCGCACACCCCTATATAGACTCGGTATCCAGCACGAGGAGGCACAGGGCATGTGCAGGGGCCGAACGGATACTGCTAACAGCAAATCTCCAATCAAGGGCTCGAGAGGCGCACGAGCACCTGAAGTAAAGCACACATGGGGATACCACTTAAAAGTAGTAAAAAGTCTTCAGAAAATAGCAGTCATTGTAATCATGTAATATTAAACAAAAAATTTAATTCTCCATTTTAAACACTGTCAAATACTTTACCCAGCACTGTATAGAAAAGAGAAAAAAGAATGCTCTGCAATACTTACAGTTGGTTGAGTATACTCTTAGTACTTGAAGACATGGCAGGATTAACCTGTGGTTCTGCAAATTCTGTTTCACCAAATTCAGAGATATGTTTAGAGCGCCACTGATTCTAGCTTTTACTCCAAATTTTTTATCTGTAACAAATAGAACAGAACCAAAACCAAAGAAAAATCACTGAATTTGATTTTGAAGCTAAATTATTCTACTTCTGTAACTAAATAATCTTAATTCAAAAGTGACAAAAAAGATATATTTCTACATCTCTACCCCTCTCCTCTGCATAATGAACTCCATTTCACCATTCCCTTCTTCCATTCTTGTCTGCATGCATGCCTTCATCCACTAATGTTGAGTACACTGGTGCCCATCTTGAAAGGTTCAACACCTCCAAAATCAGGCTCCTAAAACAGGCCCTAAATATCAAGTTGGGCACTCAAAATTTGAGGTACCCTAATTTAGTCAACACTTCCAAAAATTGATTCTTGATCTCTCTCTCTCTCTCTCTCTCTCTCTCTCTGTTTATCCAATTGTAAATGGACAAGATGTGACAGGTGTGTAGTCATTTTAAGAGCCTTCCAGTAGTGCATTAAGCGACTACTACAACGATGAGCACACTATACAAACCGTTACAATGTAGAATAGAACAGATAGAGTTACCTAGTATCTGTGATGAAACAATCTTTTAAAAGTTCTATGAGATCATCACATGAAGGATATTATACATGGATAAAGTATTAACCGTTATAATTTTACCTTTTGGACCAATTTTTGCAAGAAGGGAATGAAGCTGCACCATTAACTCCTCATTGGGTGGGGAGTCTTTGCTGGCACTCAAAAGTAACTGCAACAAGATCTGCGTCCCTCCTTTAGAAACTAAGACACTTGCTTTCCGACCACCACCTTGAAATTAAAAATACAAATATTTGCAGTAGTCAAAAAATATTAAGATACCTAGCTATTTAGTCTTTTCTTCATATCCATTTGCAATGCACCAAGCAATATTGGCACTATTCAACTTTTATATACATGCATAAACTAGACTTTTGATCACTTTTAATCTCAGAAAAATAAAATTATGTAAAATCAGCTATTTCTTAAATGCCTTGAAAAAAAATGTAACAATTTGCACAAAGTACACATAAAAAATTGCCACTTGATTAAAACTTACCAACTGACACCAATTCAGTGAGGATATTTAATATATTTAGAGTAGTCTGAAGATCTCTTGTATTCTGAAATTAAATAATATTCTTTTAATTTTGGTAACAAATACGGCATACTGGACACAGATGTATCCTTGCTTCATTTGTAACAGTAATAGGTTTTGTTTCAAGACTTATTAATGGGAGTACCTTATTACATTTATTTTCCACAGCCACACGTGCCCTTCCTACCAAGCTTCAGTCATTAGCATACTTAAAGCTTATACCCAAATAAACCATCTGTAGTTTTATATTTGCCCAACTTCTCCAGCTTTTGAGATCCACAGACATTTCCAAAACAAGCGGTTTTATTTTGCTTGAATTCTACTTGTAAAACATTTTCTTTGGTAAATACTTGAGGGTTTTTTCTTCATATTTTAAGAAACTTGTATATTTCTTGTTAAAATTTGAACATCAGAATTGAACAACGATTGACACACTGCTCAGAGTTCCGACTGCAACTCAAACCACTTGACTTATTTATTTTTAGACCTTGATTTAGCAAGGCACCTAAACATAGCCTAACTTTAAGTACAAGTGTTGCTCCTTTGACTATTCAAAGTTAGGCATGTTCTTAAGAAACTTGCTGAATCAAGGCCTTAGATATCACATAATGATCAAAACCATGGACAAGTACCTTTTTGTAGTGGCCAAGAAAATTAAAGAATATTGAAAAATTGGAAGTCTGATATTTGCAAACTATACAACTTAGACATACACACGTACATGAATAAGATGTTTTACCTCTAATGTTGAGAGGATAACTTCTATTGCTGGGGAACCTTTGGCAGTCATTTCCTTCCTGGTTTTTTCTGAAAGTCCAAGAGATTATTTTTTCCTCAAAGGAGATTATAAAATTAGTTGAGTAATTTCTGAACATAAAAAATGGATACCACATTCTGAAAAATCTAACCTATGAAAAAGAAAACCTGCACACACAAAAAGTCACTTAGGGTACAAAAGCGTATCAAAATTAGGGTGAACAAACTGATTTAGATACAGTAGGAATGAATTCATACCTTTACCTATTTTTAAATACAAAATTTGAACGGCTTTTGAATTTATTTTTAATTTTGGTTAACATTTTTCTTTTTTAGTGTACATATCTCCACACACCACAGTTTTGGCCAAAAATACTACAAAGAAAGGTATCTTGTGCAATATTTCTGAGTCACGTAAGAGTAACAGGAATTTCTGGAAATTTCATGAGAAAGTCCGTTTTTGAGATTTCCAGAACAATTTCCTGCTGTTTTTATACAGCAGCCTTATTCCAGGCAAGGAAAGAGGACGGAAGATGGATTTTTAGGTGCAGGAGTGGGGGCGTTAACATGTTATCAGATATAATCTTGTTACAGACTGCAGCACAGTAATGCTGACATTTGAAAAAGAAAAGGGGGTGAAATAAGCAGCTGTAGTTCAATTTACGGAGCTAGACACTGAAAGCCCACAGCCTATGATTCCCTCTCCACCTTATTAAGAGGTTAAGTGCAGAAAATGTGAGATTGGTGAGGTAATACAATTATTGCTATCCTATGACTTGCAAATAGTACTTCAATATGGGGGTTTTCAGGATCTGATTCCCTGATCTCCTGGTTTATGTTGCCTGCTTCATGTAACTGCCAAAACAAATCAACATATAATCCCAATAAAGTTTCTTTCTGGTTTGCTTGTGGATGGGCACCAGACTGCAAAAAACAGCTCATGAGAGAGTTTATTATACTATTTTTGGAACACATGCACATCTACTTTCTCATGAGCACAGAGACATGGAAGGCAAATCAGGGTTTTCTCTGGATATGTACCAGCTCATTTTGGTTTGACTTTTTCACGCCAGGTGAGGCAAATCAAGTAATAAAAAAGCCAGACCTTGAAACCTGACTTCCAACTGCAATATCAGAGTAAGAGGAAGGAAAACAAGCAACATTCTTAAGCTTTTATTTACTGACACTATAGATAAATAATCAGAATCACTATCCATGTCATTTGAAGTGCAATCATTCACACCCAAAATAGTTTCTGCCTGCTTCTAATATTTGGCTGATTTTTTTGTACTTCCCCACCAATACCCTGAGTGTGCTGGGATAAATGCAGATGTATGAGAAGAGATGCTGCATGCCTTACGATCAGCTGAACAAAGACATTTTAGACTCAAAAGTGCTGAAAACCAATTAATGAAAACAAATGCTCTGCCAAGAAAGTAGCTAATACAATAAAACCAATAAAAGATCAGGATCATACTACACACTGGCTGGCCACATCTAAACTGGAAAATACATGTCACTATGCTTTGTGTAATAGAATAGATTTCTATGAATAAACACTAATTTAACAGACAAATCCACAAGTGAGGTATGTAATCCTTACAGTCAACAAAAATTTCAGACAGACAATCTCTTTTTATTGTGAAGGACAACACAAAATATAAGTAGGTTTCATTCCCCAACCTTCAGTCTAAAAAATTAATTGATTCCAGTCTTCTTTGACTACTCCACTGGCCCTTATCACTTGCTGTTGACTAGAGTCTCTCAGAATTGAATCCACAGTATACTTCACAGATATAAACACAAATACAATCAGCATCCTCAATCTTACACAAAGCAAAAGACTACATACTGTGTACTCTTTAGACTCTTGATTCCGGAACATGTCTCCTGATTGAAAATACAGACACCCAGCTGAAAATTTTGTCCCCATTTTTAAAATCAATCACTATGAATATTTGTAAAGCTCCTGCCTGAATCCAGTTAAGTATAAAGGTGTTCATTACTAAGATGCATTCAGGGAAAAAAGTCTACTGTGGAATATTCATGATTTGATGGTAGCAGTTTAGTTTCGATATTGGCGATTAAAAAAAAAAAAAAAAAAAAAAGAGTTGTAAGGCTAGCAGGTTTTTGTTTTTTTAAACTTTTCTCATACTCCAGAATAGCTGTGCTTTGGCACACACTCCCCACCAGAGCACCTCCTCACATCAAAAGGTGGAGTTGTAGTGGTTCATCCACTCTAGCATCTCCTGTCCTAGGTCTGCAACAGTCTGCTGCTTCCATGGCCTAGCCCTCCACCCAGGTCACTTACCAGTCCAGTCCCCTTTTCCAGATTAACAGAAAAGTCCAAACAAAAACAGGAAAAACCCAAAGTCCATTGATCTCTATGCCAGGCCCTCTGCCTTCATCTGGGACTCCTCATTCTTGGCAGTAGTTCAAGTAGGGTGGTACTCCAGTACACAGTACCAGCCGGGGGATTTTTGGGGGGTCGGGGGTACCAGAAGGGCTGGGGGGGGGGGGGGGGGGGAAGAAGAGAGGAGGGCTGCGCTCTGCTCCTTAAAGGAGCAGAACACAGCTAGGGAGGGCACTCATTCTTTATATGGCTTTAACAGCACAATGCATATACACCTCTACCTCAATATAACACTGTCCTCGGGAGCCAAAAAAATCTTACTGCATTATAGGTGAAACCACGTTATATTGAACTTGCTTTGATCCACCGGAGTGCGCAGCCCCACCTCTCCGGAGCACTGCTTTACCGCGTTATATCCGAATTCGTGTTATATCAGGTCGCGTTATATCGAGGTAGCGGTGCACTAACAAACTTAAACAAAGGCTTTGTTTAAGTTTGTTAGCGTATGTATTGTACTGTTAAATTGGTCAGGAGTCCTCGAGGGGAGAGGGGGGAGGATGGGGATGGAAGGTGTTTAAACTGTGTTTTTGATTCTGTTTCTCCTCATTGGTCTGAATTATCCATGACATTCATACTGCATCACATCAAGTCCAGATCATTAAGGAATGCCTCTGCTTGCACTGACCAGAGGATGTTTGGATTCTGATGTCAGCCCAGTTCTGCAGCCTGACAGGAATCAGGTATTGTCCCCAGTGCACACAGAATTCTTCTTTGCAGCCAAACTAGTGTAACATGCATTTTGCTAACTGGAACTGGAGCAGCAAAACAAAGAAAACAAATGTCTCATTTTCCAGCTTTGTGGGTGAGAGAACTATAAGTGAAGATTATAATGCCGAACACTGACGACCTTAAACCAGCAGCCTCAGGAATCTGCCAAGAACTTTCCTGAAAATATGTTCCTCATCTTAGCAACAAGATTTCTCACACATCTGCTCACCTTTATTCGAATGACGCTCCTTCTGATCAGACAGCTCAGGCATTGTCAGTTTCATCTAGAACAATTTATAAACTTGGAACCTAATCCTGTAAACCCTTAATCATTTGATCAATCCCATTGAAGACGATGGGACTATCTGCATGTCTATGAACCAATTTTGTGGTAAGAGCTTCAGGAGTCTGCTCTGTTCCTATAAAGGAAGTTGACTCTCCCATTGAAATGCAATGTTTGGGTACAATATCATAATGCAGTTTAGGATACAGTTCGAATTAAACTTTGTCTTTTAATAAGTCATACATATGCTGAAATGATTCCTCACCCAACTCCCATATTCCATATAAACAGACTGAAATACTACATAATTTGGGGGGGAGGGGGAGTGAGTATTTAAGCATGTTAATGTTTGTATATACGAACACCCATTTCATCACTGTACTGGAAAATATAGCTGAACTTAATTTTCTATGGAATTTGAAGAAAATTTAACAGCCCCAATTGTTTTCTGTGTTAATCAGTGTGAACCTGAAAAAATTACATACCTTCTAAGAGAAAATAATCAGTCCACACGTACTGAAAAAAAATAAAAAAATCCTTTTAACTGGTGTTCAGAAGAGTGCTACAAGACACAATCTCATGAGCAGAGGGCGGAGAGGATATCCACTCACATTATGACCAGCCCAAAAAAAAAAAAAAATAATAATAATAATAAAATCTCAAAGAGGCAGAGGTTCATAGATTTGCAAACCTAAAAACCTGTGTTACGCTTTAAGCCACCTCAGCACATACGAAGTTTATGAACATTAAAAAGTTAACTGCAAAGGGACACTGAAGCCCATTAACCTGAATGTGTGCCAGCCAGTATGCCCTCACTGACTAAAGGCGCAGTCACACATGAACAGCTAAAAATTAACCTTGCCCCTTTAAGCTAAATGGAGTCGTGGCACTGACTCCCTTTCTGTGGTTACATAACAGATAATAAAACTCCAGTGGGGCATGGTGCTGGCACATAGGGTCTCAGGTATGTGGTGTGATTTTTCAGAATCTCTTTTGGGAATAGTCATGTAGGTGAAATAGCTGGTACTTATGATTATGCTATTTCTATGCATGTATATTCATCTTGGTATCTGAAGTTATGAATATTAGCTATGTTTACTACATGTTTGCTCCTCTGGTAACGCCCACAAGCTATTTAGCCAGCACATGAAGGGACAAGTCAAGTTGAATGGCCCATTAAGGAACAGTTAGCTCACAACGGACCCTGGAAAATGCCTGTCTATTCTTAATGGACTTTTTGTGCATGTTCTAACTAGAATATGGGTGGGGGTGATGGACATGTAACTTGCCCATGTGACTCCAAACACCATCTTTCATAGTAAGAACAGATCTCCATTTACTTGGCACTTGGCAAAAAGCTAAAAGGCCCTGGCCTGGAAACATATCCATTTTGCCTCTTTCCTGCTCTGGCCTCTTTCCTGCTCCAGCCTCTGGACTATGAACATATACTAATGGGAGCATTCTAACCAAGGGACTGAGGACTTTAAGGTAATCTGGAGCCTTCATATTCCCTTGATCCTTTGCAGATGTACTTATGAGTTGCATATGGTACAGAAACTGTCCATTGCAAGGGAGAAATCAGCAATGAATGAGGCTAGAACAAAGATCAGATCTCTGCTGACTTTCTCACATGAGTTAGCAGCCTTTGATACCTGTGGTATAAGCAACATAGC